CTTTTAAGGCCAAGTTCTATTCAGGTACAAGCTCTCCCTCCTTTGTGAGGGCAGAGCTGCACGTCCCCCCCCCCCCAATAGCTAGCAATCCAAAACAGTCCGGTGGAGCCTGAGCGGTGGGTGTTGCCTTCTGACACACTTCCCGTGACGTCAGGGGGTGTGGCATATGCAAATAAGTGATGCTAATGAGCTCCTGCACCTCTTTTTCTGCGAAATGACCCCTGCTGCGGGTTCACCATAAGTCAGCCGTGACTTGACGGCACTTCCCACCGCCATTAAAATGGCGTTCGATGTTTCTGTCCACATGACCGGGATACCTTAAGGGCTGCTTACTCCCACCTGGACCTCCCCGCCCACTCTGCTCAGCTTCATATACCCTGCTTCGGGTGCCCCTGCCACCTGAGGGTCGACAGGTGGCAACCTGAGAAAGGGCCTCCTCGGTGACGGCACTTTTCCCTCTCCCACTTGGCTCCCTGGAGCTGGTCTTCCTCCTGCCTCTGCAGTGGATGGTTGTGCTGGCCTGCTCCCCCCATTCACGAGGGAGAAAAGGAAGCACGCTTCCCCCCCCAAATCTTATTTTACCCTATCTGTGCGCACTCATTTATGCAAGTTCCATTTTGCTCATTGGGGTAAACAAGTAAACGTAGGGCTGCCAAGTGGGGGCGGGTAAACCCCCGCTTTGGAGGCCCGATTTCCGCCGCCGCGAAATCGGGCCCCGGGGGGAACTCCGCCCCCCGAAGTGCAGCGTGGCTGTGTCACCGGAGGTGATGCAACCACGTCGACCACGTTGGGGGCGTGGCCCGGCTCGTGGGAGGGAAAACTCTATGGTTTTCCCTCCGACAATCGGGGCCACGCCCTCAACGTGGTCGACGTCGCGCGTAACTTCTGGTGACGTGCTGGTGGTGCGCGCGCGCGCGCATCCAGAGACAGCTCCCGGAGCCCAGCAAGGATTCCCCACCGGTGAGTTTTTTAATGTTCCCTCTAAGCTGTGGAGTCCTGTGAGCAAAAATTCTACTCTGTGAGCCACTGGCATTAAAGGTGTGAGTGAGCAATTTGGCTACTGCGTAAATTAGTCTGCCCTGGAGCCCTCCTTCCTGGGCGAAGAAAAAAATGTGTGAGCCAGAGGCTAAAAAACTGTGAGCTGGCTCACACTAGCTCAGCTTAGAGGGAACACTGCCAACTTGGCAACCCTAAGTAAACGAGTGCAAGATTGTATAATTGGTATGGTACTGATGGGGGTGGTTCTTAGGGTTGCCAGCCCCTGCTTTCACAAGTTCCATTCCACTGATGGCCAGTGGGGGGGGACCTGCCCGCGAAGAGCCCTGTTGTGCCTGACGTGCCCGGCACGTGGGGGACGCTCTAGCATTTGGGTTAAAACTCTGTGGTTGTGACCATAGCATTTCCCCCCAGATGCTAGAGTGTCCCCTGCATGACGTGCCCAGTGTGATGTCACTCTTAAAACATGATGGCATTTTGATGATTGAAAGCACTATGCCATATCTTAGTAACCTTCACAGTCAGATAAAAGTAGACAGAACTATCCTCATAATTGGGGGATGAGGCTGAATGAAAGGGATTTACACAGTGCTCAATCAGTACTCCCATTGGGTGTTCCCTCTAAGCTGCGTTAGTGTGAGCCGGCTCACAGTTCTTCAGCCTCCGACTCACACATTTTTGCCTTCGCTCAGGAAGGAGGGCTCCAGAGGAAACTAATTGATGCAGTAGCCGAATCGCTCCCTCACAACTTTAATGCCAAGTAGCTCACAAAGTAGAATTTTTTTGCTCACAAGATTCCACAGCTTAGAAGGAACATTGCTTCCAGGTGATGTCGTTGTGGTGTGCACGCAAAGAGTGCCCACTGGAAGATCCCAGGACCGGACAGGAGCACCTCTGCCAGCAGCCAAGACCTGACAGCCCTAGTGGTTCTGTTGAGAAATGCAGTGAAATGAGTTCGGTTATAGCAAATGACCTCCTGGTACAAGTGCTGGAGAAGACTCTTGAGAGTCCCTTGGACTGCAAGAAGATCAAATCAGTAAGTCCTAAAAGAAATCAACCCTGACTGTTCCCTGGAAGGCCAGATAATGAAACTGAAGCTCAAATACTTTGGCCACCAAATACTTTGGCCACCAAAGGGAGCACTCACTGGAGAAGACCCTGATGCTGGGAAAGATTGAAGGTCAAAGAAGACGGGGACGGCAAAGGATAAGATGGTTAGACAGTGTCATCGATGCAACGAACATGAAATTCACTTCAGAGGACGGCGGAAGACAGGAAGGCCTGGCGTAATCTGGTCCATGGGGTCACGAAGAGTCGGACTCGACTGTGCGACTGAACAACAACAACAATCCAGATCTAGTAACAGGTAGCCCTGCACACACTTTAGGGTTGCCAGTCTCCAGGTGGTGACTGGAGATCTCTTGAAATTACAACTGGTCTCCGAGTAACAGAGATCAGTTCCCCTGGAGAAAATGGCTACTTTAGACAGTGGACTCTCGTGGCATTATGTACCCCACGGAGGTCCCTCCTGAGGCACCACCCCCAAATCTCCTGGCATCTCCCATGCTGGTGCTGGCAACGCTGACACACTTTTTACGGGGTGGTGGTGGTGGTGGAAGTAACCGAGCCTTCCGCTTCTCTCATCAGGGCGTTTCCAGGCAGCGGACCGCAATGATTTGATCAAAACCACCGAAAACATTGATGTATTTTTGGACATGAAGTCTTCTTGGACCACCAAGGATGTGGCGCTGTCCGTTCACCACGGTTTTAGGTATGAGATAAGTCCCACCGGCAGGGCTATTTTTGGGCAGGAACGCACAGGAACGGAGTTCCTCCAGCTGGCTCCCAAGTTGGCCACGCCCAGCAGGAACTCATTAGCATAATAGGCCACACCCAACAGCAGAAACTCATTAGGATTGGCTACATTAGGGGTGTGTGGCCTAACATGCAAAGGAGTTCCTACTACAAAAAAAGCCCTGGTTTGACAACAAACAAGGTAAACAGAATAAGAAGGGAAAGGTGGGTGTGGCTGGATGACCACACTTCTGGTAACATGGGGGTGCGACCTAATGTGCTAATGAGCTGTGCTGTCAGGGGTGTGGCCCAATAGGCTAATGAGTTCCTGCTGTTGGGTGTGGCCTATTATGCTAATGAGTTCTGCTGGGCTTTTTCTACAAAAAGAGCCCTGCCACCGGGATGGCATCGTTTGAGGTGTACAGATGGTTTTCTTGAACTGAATGAAATTCCCCCACTGGATCTTTTTCCTGAAACGACAATTATTTATTCCCCCTGGTCTGATGGGCTAACATGATAAAGGTTTAAAGAAGGCAAAGGCAGGCTTTGTCCCTGGGAGCGGCTTTTTAAAAAATTAAGTCTTTGGGACTTGTTGTTCCCTATATGGTGGCTCTGTGGCTAAGCAAGGCATAAAAAAGGGGGAGAAAAGGACCATCAACCAACCCAGGAACCCTGAAAACAAGAGAAACTGATGTTTATATATAGAAGTGCTGAATTATAAATCCAATAATTTTAAACCAAAGACATAATTTACAGTAAGTGTAACAAAATAATCATATAGAAGAAGAGGAGGAGGAGGAGGAGATTGGATTTATACCCTGCCCTTCACTCGGAGTCTCAGAGCGGCTGACAAACTCCTTTCCCTTCCCCTCCCCACAACAGACACCTTGTGAGGTAGGTGGGGCTGAGAGAGCTCTTTCGAGGACTGCTCTTGAGAGAACAGCTCTGACAGAACAATGGCTTGTCCAAGGTCATCCAGCAGGTGCAAGTGGAGGAGTGGGGAATCAAACCTGGTTCTCCTAGATTAGAGTCCGCACACTTAACCACTGCACCAAACTGTTAGGAATCCCCAAACTGGTGCCCATGACACTTTTTCCTAGCACCTGCCAAATGTTTCTAGAAAGTAGGTGTTGGATCCCCAAGCATCGAGAATAAATCCACGTTTTAAAGAAAAGCAAAATTTATTTCAAAGCGTTGAAGACATACTCAAACACGTTCTTTGTTAGAACTGGGGATACACAGTTAGGTCAAGCATAATAAAGGAACTTCAAACAGATACAGATCCAATGAATATCTTTCCCGCTGGCGGGCTAAGGAAACGGTTGCGCGCCCAGTACATGAGAACCAGGCAGAACATCAGACAAAACACAGGTGCAGTAGTCCTGGGAAAATCAATAGGCAAGCATTACAGCATCTTCTCCCCCACACAACCTCCAGCAGTTATCTTTTGCATTCCAAAGCAGGAGCAGGATGATAGAAGCCAAGCCGGGTGTAACAGGGAAAGGATATGTACACAGAGGTCACAGAAAACAGAATGGCAGCTTGCTGACATACTGCCCCCCTTAAAATACACTTACAACACACCTCCCGGCCTGGGCGGGAGACCTCCCGGGCTGGGCGGGAGACCTCCCGGTTTGTCCGGGAACCTTCTGTGGAAACTACGGATCAGGTAAGGGGCCCGAATATCCCCTTCTTCCACCCATTCGCGGTGCTGGGGACCGAAATCAACCCATTCGATAAGGTACCAGAGTTTACCACGTTTCACTTTACAATCAAGGATATCAGCTATTTCAAAATGTTCATCCCCTTCCAATATGACAGGCGGAGGAGGAGTAGTCTCTGGTCTCCAAGGAGACGGTCCAGGATCCTTCTTCAATAGACTCATGTGAAAGACAGAATGCAAGGCACGTAAATTCTTAGGCAAAACAACATCAACTGCCACATCATTTATGACTTTACGCACTTTGAACGGACCAATGAACTTCCATCCCAATTTTCTGCTAGGCCGCAGCATCTTAATGTTCTTGGTCGAGACATACACAAGATCCCCAGGTTTCAGATCAAACCCCACCACCCTACCCTTGTCTGCCTGGGTCTTGTAAGCAGCCTTGGCTGCGTCAAGTGTTTGGCATAGCAGCGGCCATGCTTTTTGCAAGGACATACACCATGTATCAGCATCCCCCACAGGACGTTGGCCCATCCCCTCCAAGAAAGGGAGGGGGGGACTGTCGTAACCAGATACAGCTTTATAAGGAGACATGCCTGTGGAGCTATGGACCGTATTGTTATAACAATATTCAGCAAGAGGCAATAATTCACACCAATCATTCTGTTGATAATTAGTAAAACAACGCAGGTATTGTTCCAGAGTCTGATTAACCCTTTCCGTTTGTCCGTCAGTTTCGGGATGATACGCGCTGCTGAGCCCTTGTTCGACCCCTAAAATGGAAAGAAGTTCCCTCCAAAATTTAGAAACAAATTGGGTCCCCCTGTCAGAAATTAACTTAGCAGGTAATTGATGAATTTTCACCACGTGGGACATAAACGATTTCGCCAACCTCTGAGCTGTAGGCAAGGAAGGAAAAGGCACAAAATGAGCTTGCTTAGAAAACAAATCAACAACCACCCAAATAACAGTGTTCCCTTTGCTCGCAGGGAGGTCAGTAATAAAATCCATGGACACCACTTCCCATGGTCTCGACGGAGTAGGGAGTGGCTGCAGTAAACCAGGAGGCTTGCCCATCCTGGGTTTAGTTAAGGCACAGGTTTGGCAGGACCTAACAAACATCAAGAGGTCTTTGCGCATTTGTGGCCACCAGAATTGTCTGCGGATGAGTTGCAAAGATTTAACGAAACTCCAATGCCCTGCCAGTTTCGAACCGTGAGCAGACTCCATCACCTCCCTCCTCATCGAAATAGGCACATACAATTTGTCTCCAGAATAAATCAGACCTTCAGGGCTACGGACACAATCAGGTAATGTCTTAAGGGAGGCATCATCCTCAGCAGTAAAAGCAGAAAGATATTTCTGGACCCAGGCCCCCCCTCCCACAGGGAACAGGGAAGGCGAAGTCTCATCAGAGTGTGGAATCGTTCGCGCCTGCGCCCGGGTGACTACGGCCCCCCCCAGATGGGAGGGGGAAAAAACAGAGTCCATGATGATCTCACGCTGACTGTCATGTTGTGGGAGGCGCGAGAGCGCGTCAGCCAGGGAATTAGCCGCCCCCGGGAAATGACGAAGTGTGAATCGAAACTTAGCGAAGAAGTCCGCCCAACGAAGTTGCTTAGCGTTGAGAGAACGGGGGGATTTCAGCATCTCCAGATTCTTATGATCAGTCCAGACTTCAAACGGCAGTTGCGCCCCCTCCAGCCACTGCCTCCAAGTGGAGAGAGCCAGCCGGATCGCTGACGCTTCCTTTTCCCAAATCCCCCAGTTTCGTTCGGCATCAGAAAACTTTTTAGACACAAATGCCAGGGGATGTAACCGACCATCTTCCCCTTCTTGCAAAATAGCGGCCCCCATAGCCACATCCGAGGCATCAGTTTGGACAATAAACTTCTTAGATTCATCAGGGCGCGCCAGCACCGGCTCGGAGGTGAACATCAGTTTAAGTTTCTCAAAAGCCTCTGCGCAAGCAGGGGACCATTTAAGCGGGGCGCCAGGTTTCGTAGCATCAAAACCCTTCCCTTTGGTCTTTAGCAACTCAGTCAGGGGAAGGGCAATTTGCGCGAAATTCTGGATGAAATTTCTGTAAAAATTGGCAAATCCGAGGAACATTTGCAATTGTTTGCGGGTCCTGGGGGGCTCCCAGTCAAGTACAGCCTGAATTTTAGCAGGGTCCATTTCAACCTTCCCCCCAGAGATGCGGTATCCCAAAAAGTCAATGCATGTCTTGTGGAATTCACATTTTGACAGCTTAGCAAACAAGTGGTGTTCATAAAGTCGCTTAAGGACCTGGCGCACCAATTTAATATGCGACTGGAGGTCCTGAGAGTACAGCAACACATCATCAAGGTAAAGGACCACTCCTTTGAATAGAAACTCATGTAGGACCTCATTGATTAGGTTCATGAAGACCCCCGGAGCCCCTTGAAGGCCGAAGGGCATAACGAGGTACTCAAACTGCCCCAAAGGGGTATTAAATGCAGTCTTACTTTCATCCCCCTCCCGGATGCGCACACGGAAATATGCATCCCGGAGGTCAAGTTTCGAGAAGATCTTGCCCTTGGTGGCCTCAGCTACCAAGTCCTTAATTAATGGGAGGGGGTAAGCATTGGACAAAGAAACAGCGTTCAAACCCCTATAGTCAGTGCACAACCTAAGCCCCCCGTCCTTCTTCTTTCGGAAAAGTACAGGCGCGGCGAAAGGGGAGGAAGCCGGGCGAATGAAACCTCGGGCTAGGTTTTTATCAATAAAGTTCCGCAGTTCGACTTTTTCAGCCGGCCCCATCGCATAAATTTTACCTTTGGGTAATTTACAGTCAGGCAAAAGTTCAATAGCACAGTCAGTCGAGCGATGAGGGGGCAATTCGTTAGCTTCCTCTTCGCCAAACACCTTTGCCAAGTCTCTATACTCTCGAGGCAAAGAAGCTAACTCTTCCGGTTGCAAAGTGCCGCAGGGGAACTGTGTGGTCGGCTGGTCCCCCCACGAATCCACCCAGCAGTGATCCACACACTTAGCCGACACAAATTTGACAACCCCTTCTTCCCACAAGATGTAAGGGTCATGGGTAAACAACCAGGGACTCCCCAGTACTAAGTCGAACTGCGATTTAGGGGTGACAATGAAGGACCTGGATTCCCAATGATCTCCCGCCCCCAACCGCAAAGCCATAGTCTCGTGCGTACAAGGTTCCATGGGTGCCCCATCCATCTGAGTAAAAATGATGGGGGACTTCAAGGGGACTATCCCCGCTTCCAGTGCAACTAACACTCTAGGGCTGATGAGATCCCTCCCACACCCAGAATCAATCAACGCTCTTACCCTAACGTGGGTTCCTAGGAGCGGATTCATTAAGGAGACAGTCACGAAAAATAGGGAAGGGGTTTCTCTCACCACCTTGGGCGCAGCATTAGAATGGCCTTGTCGTTTTGCGCCTCTCACAACAGGCCGTTGTCGTTTTCCGCCGTTTCAGCCACCAGCTCTTCTTCGGACTCGGCGGCAGCCGGTTCATTTTCCCCCGAACCTTGGGCTGCCTGCAGAGCTTTGGAGAAACGCGGTTTAGCCATCCCCTTCTTCCCCGACAGCGGTGTCTTCGGGCTTGGGGTAGGCGGCTTGTCTTTGACTTGACGGCTGCCACAATCCACAGCGAAATGCCCCTTCTCCCCGCACTTGAGACAGAGCCCCATCTTCATCCGTAGTTCCCTTGCCGATTCCGACAGGCGTTGAGTCTTGGGTTTAGAGGCACCGACAGCGGCGGGTCTGTTGGTCGTAGCAGCCAGGTCGAGTTTGATGGTGGTGAGCCGGTCTTCTGCATTTTCAGCTTCTTGGGTCCAGGCCATCAGGGAGACAGGGTTGACAGTTTTCAGAACCGTTTCTCGGATTTCTGCGTTGAGACCCAAGCGATACATCTCAGCCAATATATGATCAGGGTAGTCTCGGAGCTTAGCTGCTTGCTTGTGGAATTCCAGAGTGTACTCGCGAACCGACTTCTTGTTCTGGCGGTAGGTCCGGAGGAACGCTTTAGCTCTTTGACTCGCGTTGACATCTTCGAATCTCGCCCTCAGCGCCCACATGAATGCTCGCAAATTCAAAAGTTCCGGACCGCGGTCGTTGTGCAGTCCAACATACCATGTGGCGGCGTCTCCTTTCAGTCTTGCCGAGATGACATCAATGAGACCAGCTTCATTTCGGAACAGGTGTCGACTCTCTTCTACGAATTTATGCACCCTCACCGTGAAGAAAGCGAGTTCATCCGGGTTGCCGTCGAAGGTAGCCTCCAGCAGATCCTTGGGTCTGGGTCGTGGAGGCCTCACCAACGGGCCCAGCTGCCCCGGAGCTCCCCTGGGAGGGAAACCCGGTACAACCGGTGGCCCTGCTGGTATTGGCCTCAGCGGCGGCGGCAGACCCGGCACCGGCGGACCCCCTGGCATCGGCGGCTGCGCAGGCACTGGCGGAGGCGGTCTCACCGGCTGCTGGACAGGTACCTGCTGCGCGGGAACTCCCGGTGCTTGCAGCGGCTGAGCAGGCATCGGCGGCGCGGGAAATCCCGGTGCAGGAGCAACTTGCAACTGCGCGGCGTGTGCGTCCAGGAAATTGGCCATTCTAACGTCCAACATTCCCGGCAGGCCTTCCATCACATCCTGGAATGCCCGCATTAAGTCTCTCACCGAGTCTTCCAGTTCTGCTAGACGTTCCCCGGTAGTTTCCTCCGGGATGGGGTCCCGAGGGCGATAATCCGGGGGTGGGTCGTAGTCCTCTTCCGTTTGGAAGGCTCCGGTGCCCTCCTCATCTTCTGCGTGACCACGCGGTCCCGACGGCTCGAACATCCACTCCTCGAGGTCCTGCTTGGGGCTCCCCTTCTCCGAGGTAGACCCAGGTTCCGGGAACAATCCCTTGTCAAACAGACTCTCACGTAATCCGCTCCCCCGACGGGAGTACACCTCACGGGTGCCTTGGGTGTTGTACATAGTCCAATCATCCTGCTGGTGAGTCTTCCGCGGACCCCATTGCGAAGGGGTCGGAGGCGGCCAAGACAGATGTGCAGGCAGGCGGGGAATCGTTCCCCCCACGGCACCCTCCATCGAGGCTGCAGTCGTGAACACCAAAGACGCGGAGGTTTGTGGGACCGATCCCGAGTCCCCCTCCGTGTTAGGTAGATTTCCCTCAATTCCGCTCATGATCTTGTCAGATTCGGAACGATAGGAAAAGGGAGTTCTAACAATATGTTGGATCCCCAAGCATCGAGAATAAATCCACGTTTTAAAGAAAAGCAAAATTTATTTCAAAGCGTTGAAGACATACTCAAACACGTTCTTTGTTAGAACTGGGGATACACAGTTAGGTCAAGCATAATAAAGGAACTTCAAACAGATACAGATCCAATGAATATCTTTCCCGCTGGCGGGCTAAGGAAACGGTTGCGCGCCCAGTACATGAGAACCAGGCAGAACATCAGACAAAACACAGGTGCAGTAGTCCTGGGAAAATCAATAGGCAAGCATTACAGCATCTTCTCCCCCACACAACCTCCAGCAGTTATCTTTTGCATTCCAAAGCAGGAGCAGGATGATAGAAGCCAAGCCGGGTGTAACAGGGAAAGGATATGTACACAGAGGTCACAGAAAACAGAATGGCAGCTTGCTGACAGTAGGTGGGGCCAGGTGCAGCCTTTGCTATCAGGACTTTTGATTGGCTGTTGGAGATCTGAATGGCTGTGGAGATTTGTTAAAGGTTGCTTTGGCAGCAGCTACCACCACAGCACAAGTATCTTCACTTCACTTACATTTATAGCTCAACTTCTGTCCTTTTCAGGCTTCGTGGGTGGGGGCAGCCAAAAAATGGCAACTTGTACAAAAAAAAAACTGCAGTGCTTCAGCGTAGGTCTACAATGCTTGGGTGTGGAAATGGTTCCTTTGCTCTTTTCCCAAAGCAGACCACACCCCCAAACCCTAACTTCCTTTACAGGTGGAAAATACTCAGTTTACCTCACTGCTTCCCTGGAAGAGGGATGTACCATCTTTGATGCAACACATTGTCATGAATTGTTTTCCTCCTTTTGACATGCTGGTTGTTTAAACTTGTGGCGTAGTGGCTGAGTGGCAGACTCTTATCTGGAGAACCAGGTTTGATTCCTCACTCCTAGGCAATTCTGGTCACCACACCTTAAAAAGGATATTATAGCTTTGGAAAAAGTGCAGAAAAGGGCAACTCGAATGATAAAAGGGTTGAAACACTTTCCCTATGAGGAAAGGTTAAAGCGCTTAGGGCTCTTTAGCTTGGAGAAAAGACGACTGAGGGGTGACATGATCGAGGTTTATAAGATTATGCATGGGAAAGAGCAGGTAAAGAAAGAGGTACTTTTCTCCCTTTCTCACAATACAAGAACTCGTGGGCACTCCATGAAACTGCAGAGCGGTCAGGTTAGAACGGATAAAAGGAAGTACTTCTTCACCCAAAGAGTGATTAACACATGGAATTCACTGCCACAGGAAGTGGTGGGTGCTACAAGCATGGACAGCTTCAAAAGGGAATTAGATAAGCATATGGAGCAGAGGTCCATCAGTGGCTATTAGCCACAAGGTATAGCTAGGGGCTCTGGGGCAAGTGATGCTCTGTCTTCTTGGTGCTTGGGGGGGGGTCAACAGTGGGAGGGCTTCTAATGTCCTGGCCCCACTGCTGGACCTCCTGATTCTCTCAGAACTCTCTCAGCCCCACGTTTGCAACTCCTTAAGATAGAAAAAGTGGGGTCCAACAACCTTTTCTTCTTCTCCTTCTCCTTGTCTATTCCAGCTTAAACTTTGTCTTTTTGTCCGTTTAGGATGGTTTCACTCTTCACTCATGGCTTCCTTGCTGGCTACGCCATCTGGAACGTCATTGTGATTTACGTCTTGGGAGGAAACCAGCTGTCCACTGCCTCCAATTTGCTGCAACAATATAAGACGTTGGCTTATCCTGCTCAGAGTCTCCTTTACCTTCTGCTTGCCATCTGCACCGTTTCAGCTTTTGACCGGTATGGTTTTCAGACAATTTCCCCTAGCGTTTTGGTGGAGGCTGTGGTTTCCTTCCAAAGTCATCTAGGGAGTGAAAATAAATCGAATTTGCCGAAAATACTAATTGTTTACTGAGGGGCCCGATCTCAGAAGCGAAGCTAGGTTGGCCCTGGGCAGTATTTGGATGGGAGACCTCCAAGGAATACCAGGGTTGGTACACGGAAGCGAGTGACGGCAAGCCACCTCTGAACACCTCTTGCCTTGAAAATCCTTGGGTTCATTGCTAAACCAGTTTGGTGCAGTGGCTAAGTGCGTGGACTCTAATCTGGGAGAACTGGGTTTGATTCCCCACTTGCAGCTGCTGGATGACCTTGGGCAAGCCATAGTTCTCTCAGAGCTGTTCTCTCAAGAGCAGTCCTCGAAAGAGCTCTCTCAGCCCCACCTACCTCCCAGGGTGTCTGTTGTGGGGAGGGGAAGGGAGAGTTTGTAAGATGCTCTGAGACTCCAAGTGAAGGGCGGGGTATAAATCCAATCTCCTCCTCCTCCTCCTCTTCCTCCTCCATCATCTAATGCTGGTCTGGCAAGCTTTTGTGGGAATCCTCTCTCTTCCCCCCTCCCCATATAATTACATTCAGAAGAAATGTGCCATTGACTGAGCTGGGCAAAGGCTTGCTGCTTATCAGAATAAAACAAACTTCATGTGGTTTTGCTAGGCTGAGTTATAAATGGGTCCATTTCATATCTGCTCTTCAGGATTGACTTGGCCAAAGCATTGGTAGCAGTGCGGGGCTTCCTGACCCTGAACCCAGCAGCGGTGGCCTCTTTCCGTGAGTACTGCGGCACAGGCACAGCCGGATAATTCAATGCTTCTGAAAATGGCTTTTTTTTAAAAAAATGTTTTTTTATTTATTATTGAAGCTTATATACATTATCTTACGTTAAATCATTATACAATCATTTTACCCCCCTCCCCCCCTCCCTCCTTGTAGTATTTTCATATTTTTAACCATGTGCACAGATTCTTCATTCGTATTTGGATATTTGGATTGGCTTCCCCCCTTTCCACCCATTCCTTATATCCCACCCATTTATTTGTAATCTTTTGACATTTCTCCTCCCATGACTCTTCAGTAATTATCTGTGCGAATATATCTGATTGTACACGTTCAAAGACATAATTATTCCAATTTTCCATTGTCCATTTGTGCCTATCCCTCCATCCCAATGCTATTACAGCCATCCCGGCTAAAACCATAATTTTATATAACTCCCATTTATTTCTTCCCACTTTTTTATTTCCCAATATTCTCGAAATAGGCAAGTCCCTGTTAATCTCTATATTAACTTGAAATAAATCATAGATAACCCTTACAATCTTTTGCCAGAATTCCTTAACCACTTTACATTCCCACCACATATGGGCATATAGACCTACTTCTTGGCCACAGTGCCAACACTTTGGATTCATTCCTTTAATCATATACACTATCTGAGCCGGAGTTCTATACCATTTCCATATAAATTTCCTCACCAATTCTTTATCTCTATCTATTTTAATTTGATTTATACCCTTCATTATTTCTTGAATCACTTCCTGATGCATTAACCCTTCTCCCTCCCATTTATTCTGTATGATCCTTATCATCCTCTCCTTATCTCTTACCATCAGTTTATATAACGCCCCCGCTATCCCTTTTTCTTTTACTTGTCTTCTGCTTAATATTTCATCAATTTCTGTTCTCTCCCCGCTTATCCCCTCTATTCTTTCAGCTTTAACTAAGTCGTATAGTCCTTGCACCTCTAACCAATATTGCTTTCCTACTTTGTCTAAAAAATTGTTTTTTGCAATTAAAGTTACTTCTGAAAATGGCTTGAGGGTGACTGAGGTGGTGTATTCGCCGTGGACTTAAAGGAGGACTTTCTTCTTTACAATGGGCTTATTGTGTTGCCTGTGGAAGCCGATGGCTTATATCCTGCTGTCTGTTTCTGATGGAAGGACACGTCTGTCGTCGTCGGCGTTGGTGGTGGTGTGTGATTTTCAGAGACTGCCCAGCAGTGTTCCCTCTAAGCTGAGTTAGTGTGAGCTAGCTCACAGTTTTTTAGCCCCTGGATCACACATTTTTGCCTTGGCTCAGGGAGGAGGGCTCCAGAGCAAACTAATGTATGCAGCAGCCGAATCGCTCGCTCACAACTTTAATGCCAAGTAGCTCACAAAATAGAATTCTTGATCACAAGACCCAACAGCTTAGAGGGAGCGTTGCTGCCCAGTCCTATTGCAGACCCTCATTTTGCCAGCCATGAGGTTCAGATGGATCTGTTCCCCCCCCCCCTAGCTGGGGAGTATTCAGTGGGCTGTAGAAGGAGGGAGAGGGTGAGTAAGGCACTGGAGTGGGCCTACTCCTAAGATACTAGCCATTGTTTCCACAAAAATGATTGATGTCTTTAACTGATCACATACGTGAACACAGGAAGCTGCCTTACATGGAAGCAGATTCTTGGTCCTTTGGGGTCTGTAATATCTGCTCAGACCGGCAGTGGCTCTCAAGGGTCTCAGGCTGAGGTCTTTCACATCCATCATCTCCTGATCTTTTTAACTGAAGGGGAACATGAATTCATGAAGCTGCCTTATACTGAATTGGCCTATCAAGGTCAGTAATTGTCTACTCCAACTGGGAGAAGCTCTCCAGGGTCTCAGGCAGAGGTCTTTCACATCACCTCCCGCCTGGCCTGTTCAACTGGAGATGCCGGGGATTGAACCTGGGATCTTCTCAATGCCAAGCAGATGGTCTGTCCTTGAGCCCCAGTTCCTCGCGTTTCTTTAAAGGGTGCTTGTGATGGGTCACTGAAGTAACCTTGAGGGCTCCATCATACTTCTGTTTCCCTGATAAGAATGTGTGGGAAATATCCAAAAGAATAAGAAGTGAAAGAGGTATATTTCCTGATGGAGAACATCGATTGAGTTTGGTGGGCAGAAGGTCGGAAAGTGGCTCAGGACTTTTTGGTGGGAAGGGTCTTTTTTGTGCCCCTGATGAGGGGAATCTAGGTGCTGACAGAATTTGGAAGACAGGGGTCACAAGGGGTGGGGGGGTCGCAGTAGTTTAAGTGACCTTGTGCTTATGAAAACGCAACGAGTGGCACTGATTTCACCGATCTTTTTCTCTCTCAGTGTACTTTGTCGCTCTCGTCTTGTCACTGAGCCAGCAGATGACGGGTGACAGAATCAACCTGTACACGCCACCTTCAGAAAACGGCAGCCTCTGGTAGGACTTCCTTCCTTCTCAAGAGATCAAATGCCAAGCAGTAAAAAAAACACTATTGTTGCTGGGTTTGTGATGTACGGTATTGCTGTCGATCCCATCACACTCCTTGAACTGCTCCATTGGCTCACTTTGGGAGCAGTGTTCCCTCTAAGCTGAGTAAGTGTGAGCTAGCTCACAATTTTTTATCCTCCAGCTCACACATTTTTGTCTCAGCTCAGGAAGGGATGGCTCCAGAGCAAACTAATTAATGCAGGAGCCAAATGGCTCGCTCACAACTTTAATGCCAGTAGCTCACAAAGTAGAATTTTTGCTCACGGGACTCCACAGCTTAGAGGGAACATCGTTTGGGAGCGAAACATCTTCAGTCCTCTTGTCTTGCAAGCTGCAGCATAGCCCTGTGAAAAGGTTATACAAGCTGGATTTTTTTAAATTCCCCTAGAATCGGTGCTATGCCTTTCCCCACACTCTGATTTTGAGAAATTTGGCATTTCATGCACCAATAAAGATCTGTGGGGTGTTTGTCCCTCCAGATTTAATCCTGGCTTGGTTGGCCCAGGCTAGCCCGTCAGATCTCAGAAGCTAAGGAGGGTCAACCCTGGTTATTGCTTGGAGGGGAGACCACCAAGGAAGTCTAGGGTTGCTATGCAGAGGAAGGCAATGACCAACCTCCTCTGTTCATCTTGAAAACCTTACATAAGTCAGCTGTGTCTTGATGGCACTTTCCATCAGCAGATTTGTAAAAAGTGCCGTTCTGGTGCAAGATGCAAGCGGCTTAACAGCCTTTGCATAAAACAACTTGTTACCAGATTCAGGTGGGTAGCCATGTTGGTCTGAAGCAGTTTGAGTCCGGTGGCACCTTTAATCTGAAGAAGTGTGTGTGCACAAGAAAGCTTATATCTTGAATTGAACTTTGATTCCCCACTCCTCCACTTGCAGCTGCTGGATGACGTTGGGCAAGCCACAGTTCTGTCAGAGCTGTTCTGGAAAGAGCTCTCTCAGCCTCACCTACCTCACAGGGTGTCTGTTGTGGAGAGGGGAAGGGAAAGGAATTTGTAAGCCACTCTGAGTGAAGGGCGGGGTATAAATCCAGTCTCCTCCTCCTCCTCCTCCTTTTCTTCCTTCTCCTCCTCTTCCTTCCTCTTCTTCTTAGAAATGCTGCTGGCCTCAAACTTTGTTTTGTCAAAAAGCCAGAGATGGATACATTCAGCATACAATTTTAAATCTGAACCACCATGAAATCCTGTCCTGTCCCTCAATCACTGTTGAGCCAAGTATAAATATACCGTTTATCATTCAAAGAGTGACTGAGAACTTTCACCCCCAGAACTAAAAATATACGTTGATTTGCCTGCCAGCGCTGTAGCAATATTATAATGGCTTTCAGTATTTCAGTAAACATTTGGGGTACCAAATGGTGAACCCACAAGGACTCGACAGCAGAGGCTTTACTTCTCCTTTTCAGCCAAGCTCTGATACTGGAAATGATCTTGATGGGGTGAAAAGCATCTGGGAAAAGAGACTTCAGGGAGGTGACCAGCAAGCACAGGCGCTGAGTTCAGCCTTTCTCACTCATGGTCCCTTTACAATCAGACTCCCACTTTTCCCATTATTGGGGTAATTCTGTGTTTAAATGCCCACACCTGTCATGTCTGGCTTATCTTTAAGTATTTGTATGTTTCTTTTCAGGACCCCAGGTACAGAAGAAGAGATTCTTCAGCCCTGGATGGTGGTCAATCTAGTAATAGCGCTCCTTGTTGGTCTCGCTTGGCTGTTCTTGTCCTATAGGCCTCAGCTAGATTACAGTGAAGGTACGGCACAGGGGTGCCATATTGTGATCCTCACGCATTCTGAACCTACCACTTGCCAAATTTCTCATTCTTTCTTAGCCTCAGTGGATTTAGGAGAGTTGTATGGGAAGGGAGGAAGAAGCGACAGGTGTTGTTGTTGGCAGCAGTGTCATTTTGTGGGTTGTAGTGACATAATCGTCTGGACGTAGATGAACGCTGCCCTGACCTGGATAGCCCAGGCTAGCCCAATCTCATCAGATCTCAGAAGCTAAATAGTACTTGGATGGGGGACTATGCAGAGGCAGGCAAGGGCAAACCACCTCTGAATGTGTCTTCCCTTGAAAACCCTATGGTGTTACTGTAAATTGGCTGCAGCTTGATGCCAATGGTGTAAAGACTTGAGTGAGACATGGAAATAGAGAGAGTGAGTGGGTGGGTGGAAGACTCTGTGCCTCATTGTGAGGATTTAATTCTCTCAGAAAGTGAGCTTGCTTGATGGGACAGGAGGAAGGGGCAAAGCACGGCTTCCTGTAATCACGTGTGGAAGGCGGCCTCCTTCCACTCAGGCAGTGTTTTTCCTGCCTTGGCCAAAATTCCAGGGACCAGTGAGGCCGAAAAGTACTGAGACTTGCTAGCGATTTCAGCTCTCATACTTTATTTCAGCTCAGAACAACGACAACTCTAACCGGCTCGCAGGCCAGTTTATAAGCGCAACAGCCCCACACCCCAAACACACCCACACACAAGGGATTGGCTATTTACAGTGGCCGAGAGTTCCATAGGCTCTCGGCCGGGAGCCTAGCCCTCCGATAGGTGCGGGCTAGGATCCACTTGGCCCATTGTTGCTGAGAGCGAAGCTTGGCCACTTCGCATGACCGCGTGGCGACCTAGCTGCGCACGCAGTCGGAGATGGATACATTACAGAGGCACGCTTCACTGTGTTCTTGAGCCAGTTTTTAACCTCAGTTTTCTTCGTATTTCCTACTGGTATTTTTTCTCTCGGCCTGGGGCAAGGGATGCTCTGTATTCTTGGTGCTTGGGGAGGGGGGCAACAGTGGGAGGGCGTCTAGTGTCCTGGCCCCACTGGTGGACCTCCTGGTGGCACCTGGTATTTTTGGCCACTGTGTGACACAGAGTATTGGACTGGATGGGCCATTGGCCTGATCCAACGTGGGCTTCTCTTATGTTCTCACTTTTCTTTCCCTCACATTTTTTAAAAAGAGCTTCATGTTCACTGACATTGTATCTTTGATCGAAGTGGGCAGCCATGTTAGTCTGGGACAAAGTTAGAGTCCAGTGGTACCTTTAAGACCAACAAAGTTTTATTCAAGGTGTGTGCTTTTGTGTGCGAAGTCTGACGGAGTGTGCACTGCTTTCTTCTCCCCTTGTAGAACTGTTTAATGCTGAAATCGAAGACTACCCGCCACTAGATAAAGAAGGCCAAGTCTCTTAACGATACAGAGAACCTCTTCAAAAACTAAAGCTAAACTGGCTGAACTTTATATATTTATACTTGTACATGATTTTCTGTATTAAAAGCATTTTAATGTTGTATACTTACTTTGCATTGGTATTATGATGACACTATTTTTGTATTTTCTGTCGTTTTTATTAAATGGTGAGACAGTGTTGCAGCTTAGTCCTGTATGAATCTTCAGGAATGACTTCGTGAAAACCTAGTTCTGAGGTTTACGTTTTCTAATACCCATCTACCTGAATAGCATTTCTCTTTGGTCATATGTCCTTTATAGCTAAAACAGATATTCTCTGTAAAGAAACCTGTAAAGCTGAGCATATTACTGTTCAGAATATCACTATTTTAGTGCCAGTTTGTCTAGAAGAATTTGCAGAATTACAGATTACCACTACTGGTCATGGCTTGTTAAAGGATGTTGACATTTATGTGCTAGTTCATGAAGTACAAGTTGTGCAAATGGATTCATAAATCCATTTGGACAGGAGCATAAATCAACTTATACGTCAGTCTTTAATACATTCCATGAAAATAAACGCTATATATAGATTTCAGTGGAACGCATGAACAAGATTTTGAATCAGGGCCAGTATCTGCTTTAGTAAGACTGCAAATCTGAGAGCATTTTCAAATCTGAGAGCATTTTCTAAGGAGTAAGCCCTGTTGAATAAAATGGGACTTGCTTCTGAATACACTGACTTAGGACTGGTCCCTAAGTATATGCCAATTTAGTTTGTTGAGTGGTTTTCCCCAAAATATGGTGCCTTTATACAAGGTATTTTATAAAAATCAAGAGCTATGTGTACGTGAATATGTGTAACTTCCTCATAGTACCATTCCTATTGTTATTTTTTTTAATCCAGAACTATTTTTTTAAATGTAAATCTACCTGTTGTACAACAATTTTTTCTGCCAATAAAGTTTCACTATTTTGCTTAACTTGACAGATTTTTTTTTAAGAATATGATTGTGCAGTTCTTAGAAAAACATCAGGCTTTTAAAAAACTCTATCCATATTTGTTGTTTGGGTCGATCTGGTTTCATTTTTGGTTACTCTCAGGTTACAAGAGACTGTTGAGCACTATATTGTGATATGAGATATTTATGCTAGGGAAATAAGAGTCTCACATTGGTGCAGGGATATTTATTTGCAACTGCTGCTGACTAGTGAAAGATGCTGTGTTACCCTATCTTTTTATGCAGAAGTGGAAGTATCCTTTTTGGGGGGCGGTGAAGCAATTAATTTAGTTAGAGCTACTTTTTGGGAGGGATATCGAAAGGCACTTCAGAGATGTATACAGCGTCGTAAACTCAAGGGGCTCTATCAGCAGCAGAAAATGGCCAGTTCACCACCAGACCGTCTTAGTACAGAGCCCCCCGTTACCAACATAGGCCTCGACGTGTTCAGCCCCTGGAGTGTGGTGACACGCAAAACTAGGGGAGGGCAGGTCAACAGCAAGCGTTGGGCCGTGCTCTTCACGTGCCTGAGTATCCAAGCTGTCCACATGGAGGTGATCGAGTCCATGGATACCTCAAGCTTCATCAATGCCCTTAGGAGATTTCTTGCCATACGTGGTCCTGTCAAGCTACTCAGGTCAGACTGTGGCACAAACTTCGTAGGAGCATGCAGGGAGCTGGGAATACACAGAATACACAGAAGCACCGACCTTGATCCCATGCTCAGCAATTATCTGAGCACCCAGAATTGTACATGGATATTCAGTCCTCCTCACGCCTCACATATGGGAGGAGCGTGGGAGCGCATGATAGGCATTGCACGCAGGATCCTAGATTCCATGTTGGCAGGAACACCTTCCCTCACAAACGAGACGTTGTCTACTCTCCTAGCAGAAGTCTCTGCCATCATCCAGACCTCTGGTTCCCGTGTCTTCAGATCCTGAGAACCCAACCATCCTGACACCAGCAACGTTGCTGACACTAAAGACAGGCGAATGGCCAGCACCTCAAGGGACCTTTGTGGCCAAAGACGTGTTCAAACAACTATGGAGGCAAGTTCAGCTTCTCACGAACACATTCTGGAAGCGTTGGAAGCAAGAGTATCTTCCGATTTTACAAAGCCGACGCAAGTGAGAAACAGACAAGCCTAACCTTCAGGAAGGAGATGTCGTGCTGCTGAGGGAGAAAGATGCACCCCGCAACTCATGGCCCATAGGTCTTGTAGATTGGGCCTTGCCTGGCGAGGATGGACTGGTCCGCAAGATTGAAGTCCATGTCGTCACAAGCGATGGCCCACAGAGCCACCCCTGGCCAACTAAGACTTTCATCAGGCCAATCACTGATGTGGTCCTAATCTGACCAAAGAAGAACTCGAAGATTCAAGACAGAAGACTCAAGTTTTGCATGCCTTAATTTTCTGCCTAGAACATAGTTAGCAGCATAGGATGTCAGTTATGCGTAGTTATAAAGCTTCTTTAGCAATGCATGTGGGTAGTGGAACCCATAGGGTTCCAGGCGGGGAGTGTGCTGCCCCAGCCAGCGTTAACTGTAGTTTAGTAAAACAGCTGTGTATCTTTAAGAGTAGTTGCACCTGGGAATTGTAGTTCTCAGTTAGGGGTCCCAGAAGCTTCCCTCTGACTAAGAGTAATTTCCTGAGCGCAGAGGCACAAAGATAGGAGTTTTATTGTTCTTTTCTGTTTCTTTGTCCATCAACCCTTACTGCAAGGAGAGGGGAAGCCCATCTCTTTTCTCGCCACAGCTATAGAACTGACCTAGATCACAAGCAAGGCTCCCTCTAAGCTGTGGAGTCCTTTGAGCAAAAATTCTACTTGGTGAGCTGCTGGCATTAAAGTTGTGAGCGAGCAATTTGGCTGCTGCATTAATTAGTTTGCTCTGGAGCCCTCCTTCCTGAGCTGAGACAAAAATGTGTGAGCCGGAGGCTAAAAAACTGTGAGCTAGCTCACACTAACTCAGCTTAGAGGGAACACTGATCACAAGATGTAACTTTCCACCCAGCTATCAGCTTGATTGTGAGTAAATGATCTTCTGAATGCTGTGGAGTTCAATAAAGATGCTTTAAGTCTATTCAGTGGCTGTGCGCTGATCTCATACCTAGAAAGCGCTGAGCTAAAGCTAGCACCCGACAGGATAGAGTTTGTAAGCCGCTCTGAGAGGCCTTTGGGTAGTGAAGGGCACAAATCCAATCTCTTCTTTTTCTTCCTGACCCCAAAGTGGCAATCAGCATTTCCCTGGACCTGTAAGAAAGGGCCTGCTTAGCTTGGAGATTGGGCTGGCCCGGGCTAACACTTCCACCTTTGCAGCATTTACACAGTGTACTTCAACGGAGATTGCAAACGGGGGTAGTCGCCTTCAATGTTCCCTCTAAGCTGTGGAGTCATGTGAGCGAAAATACTGCTTTGTGAGCTACTGGCATTAAAGTTGTGAGCCAGTGATGTGGCTGCTGCATAAATTAGTTTGCTCTGGAGCCACATCCTTCCTGAGCTAAGACAAAAATGTGTGAGCTGGAGGCTAACAAACTGTGAGCTAGCTCACACTAACTCAGCTTAGAGGGAACACTGGTCGCCTTCCTTGTTCACTCTGCCTAGTAACATGAAACAGAAGCCCAGTCGAATCAATGGATTTGGGCGGCTCGCCTCAGAATCCAATGAACAGCCGCTCCCGTTGTTTCTAGCCCATGAAGGACATCCCCCTTTCCAACTTTCCCTTCAGCCTCCTGGGGGGCGGCGGCGGCGGGGAGGGGGGACTTTTGCATTATGTCAGGCGCGTGCCCGGGCAAGAGGATGATGACCCTCTCCCTCCCTCCCACCCACCCGGGGCACGAGCCTTTCCCTTGCTATGTGAGGGAAGAGGGGCGGAGGCGCGCGTCTCCCCTCACCAGCTCCAGGAGCGCGCGCGTGCGCGCTTTGTCCCTCCGAGGCCCGCTGGGCTTGTTTTCACTCGCCCGCCTTATCGGGCGCCGCGCTGGAGATACGGCTGTTGGCGCCTCCCTCGGAGCCGGCCCGCCTCTCCCCGAGAGAAGGAGGAAGTTGTCGGCTGTTTTCTTTCTCTCTCTCTCTCTCTCGGTTGTCCGTCTTCATGGAGGGACGGAATTGGGTGGGGGCAGAACTGCCTGATCGGGTTTGTGCCCCCCCCCCTTTATTCCTGAGGTAATCCTTTCCTGGGAACCCTGGCGGGGCTAGGAGAGGGGGGGTTGTTGAGAGGGTGGCAGACGGGGGAGTGGGGACATCTGCAGTGGGGAGGAGATGCTTGTAGGAAGGTGGCTTGCATGAGTTTCTGCTTAGCAGTGGGGGGGTTTTTTGCAGACTTGCTTGCATTGTTATTATCTTTGCTCAGTGCAATTGGTTTTGCCTTCTTTGCTTTGCTCTTGTTTGGTGCTTCGACTTTCGAAAGCCTACCCTGAAAAGCTTGCATGAGTTTCTGCTTAGCAATGGGCGTTTGTACAGACGGCTCGCATTATTATTATTATTATCATCATCATCATTATCATCATTATCATCATTATTATTTAAAAAAAGGTAAAGGTTTCCCTTGCTCGAAAGCCAGTCGAGTCCGACTCTAGAGTTGCGGTGCTCATCTCCGTTTCCAAGCCGAAGAGCCAGCGCTGTCCGAAGACGTTTCCGTGGTCATGTGGCCGGCATGACTAAACACCAAGGCGCACTGAACGCTGTTACCGTCCCACCGAGTTGCTCCTATCTGGTGCCTCGACTTTCGAAAGATTGTACCGTGAGAAGCTTGCATGAGTCTCCGCTTAGCAATGGGGGTTTGTACAGACTGCTTGCATTATCATCATCATCAAATGGTTTTGCTTCCTTTGCTTTGCACGCGTCTGGTGCTTTGCACCCTAAAAGCTTGTTGGTCTCCAAGGGGCCCCTGGATTCGTAATATCTAACTGCCCTACTGTGCAGATCAACACGGCCCTTCTGTTTTCTGTATCCAAGATGTAAGCAGCTGTTCTGGTCCATTAAAAAAATAGCAGCAGTTGTAAATACCGTTGAAAATCCCAAATTAAATCAGGACCAATCCGGACTGGTCACAAAATAGCGAGAGAGCTTTTGAGTCCTCTTCCCCCACCTCTTTTGCCAGGCTGTGTTTGTTGATGCATGCACATGCGTTTGAGGAAGTGAGCTCTCTGACCCAGGGAAACTTAGGCTGGGGATGGCTTTTGCTGGTGTTTAAAGAACCGTTGCACTCCTGTTTTAAGACTGTGTAAGATTACTTTGGAGTAAGTGCATAGCATTGCATGGCAGTTGTATTCTCTAGTAGGGTTTGTAGTTCTAGGTAGGATTGGCAATAAACTCTGTCGGGTAGACAGGGTATACAAATCTCTTAAATAAATATACCTATTTGGGCTGCCATGCCATGAAGCATCTCTCTTCTTTTCTTTTCTCCCTTTACTTAATGTCCGACAAGATTGGGGAACTCGAAATCTGGTATTAGTAAAGATACTTGCAACTGTTGTAATTAAATCAATCTGCTCTTGTACTTTTGGACAGCACATAAATTCTTAGCAGATTTGGAATTTCTTTTGGTAATGTGACACACAGCTGAGAACTCCGTGACTGTAAGCAATTGCACTTTATGGTTATCGGATATCGCTAGACCTTATATTTGGGAGACTCATCTGTTGCTTGCAGATGTTGCACACTGGCCCAAACTCAACATATTTATTTATTTATGTTAGTTATAATCCACCTTTCTCATTGGGACTCAAGGTGGATTATGCAGAGTGAGTTAACATAATCAGTAAGATGGGATGTTCAATAGACAATGCAGTAGGATCAGGGTAATTATAATGTTTTGTCTTGTCTGCTTTAAGCTCGGGATGAATCCTAAATGTTTCAGAGACCTTATTTCTGATATCAGTGCTGTTAAATTTGACAAGAATATCCCTAGGTAGATTCCTCCTTTGAGCCACCCTGTTGTTAATTCTGAAAGCGAACTCTATTTTAACTTCCTCATTGAACTCTGAACCCAGACAGCCTGTAAAATGGTATGTAAGATATTCCATTAGGTTGCTCTGACCTGAATAGCTCAGGCAAGCCAAGTCTTGTCAGATCTCAGAAGCTGAGCAGGGCCGACCCTGGCAAGTAATTGGATGGGAGACCTCCAAGGAATACCAGGGTTTGGGACACAGAGGCAAGCCAAGCAAGCCACCTCTCTGAAAAACGTCCAAGCCCCCAGTAGGGATCGCCAGAAGTTGCCATCACTTCCAGATATGCGCGCGCACACGCACAATAAAAAAGATATTCCATTAGGTTCGTTTCTTCCTCTTGTTTTAATGGTCATATTTGTAAATTAGGCTTCCTTAACCTGTTATCAGTTGTCTCACTATGATCTATTAATCTATTTTTCCTCTTCTGTACCCATAAAGTCTTGATCGGGGATTCTAAAGGCATTTTCTAGTTCTTCTGTCTCGTTAACAATCTTAGTATCACTTCAGATCTTCTGCGGTGGCTGTACTTATTTTAAGCTTGTTTTCAATAGCCTGTTGCTTAGTTTCCAAATCATGAAATCGGCAATCTGATTTTTTTTTTCTACTTCTTTCATCTGTCTGGTGCTATTTTTTTTTTTTTAGTTCCTTCACCGTTCTTTCAATTTTTATGAATTTAGCGCAGAATAACCCCTGTATGTCCTCTAAGACTGGCATACCTTCCTCCTCTTTTTTTCTTATATCATTTTAATGGGAAAGAAACCAGCTAATGTCTTCCGGGCTTGTGTCAAGACTGACCCTGCTTTCGTGTGTAAGTGGTGGCATAATAGAACTGGAGCCAACACGGACTCAGATTATGTAGTCCATGGACTTTATCTTCGTTATTGACCCATATCATTTAAATCTTCACATGCTGGGTGTGGACTTACCCAGATGTTATGCCACCACATGAAAGTCAGTAGTATCAGAAGGACAGGTTCGTGTCAATTGGGTAGCAAAATCAGATGCTCCCTTCCTCACTTTATGTAAATCTGGGTATAATCTGAAAAATCGCAAAGTATATAATAAGATGCCCTGACCTGGATAGTGCAATCTCATCAGTTCTCGGAAGCTAAGCAGGGTCGGCCCTGGCTCGTAGTTGGATGGGAGACCTCCAAGGAATATCAAAGTCGTGATGTGGAGGCAGGCAATGGCAGACCACCTCTGAATGTCTCTTGTCTTGAAAACCCTACGGGGTTCACCATAATTCAGATGTGACTTGACAGCAAAAAACAGCAACTTTTGTTGGTCTGGACTTATACGGTCAAGATTCAGAGGTTGTTGCCTTGATTCTCTTAATAGCTTTTTCACAAATGAGGAATTCTAATTTCTTCCTGTCACGAACACAGCCAAACACTTGCACACCTGTTGCTGACCGTCTTTGATGCTTGTTGAGTTTTTCGTAAAAATGTCACAGTGTGTAGCATCAAGGTTTTCTGAGTCCATTGGAGGGAAGAAGAGTTGGATTTATACCCTGCCCTTCACTCAGAGCGGCTTACAATCTCCTTCCCTTCCTCTCTCCACAACAGACACCCTGTGACTGAGGTAGGTGGGGCTGAAAGAGCTCTTTCGAGGACTGCCCTTGAGACAACAGCTCTGAGAGAACTGTAACTGACCCCAGGTCACCCAGCTGGCTGCATGTAGAGGAGTGGGGAATCAAACCCGGTTCTCCAGATTAGTGTCCACTGCTCTTAAACCACTAACTTCAGACTGGCTCTTAACCACTATACCCAACTGGAAGTGAGGCTGCATTGTGCCTGAACTCAGATCTTCCTAACAGAGCCCTAGGAGTCAGTTCGGTGTAGTGGTTAAGTGCGTAGACTCTAACCTGGGAGAACTGGGTTTGATTCCCCACTCCTCCGCATGCAGCTGCTGGATGACCTTGGGCAAGCCATAGTTCTGTCAGAGCTGTTCTCTCAAAGACAGTTCTGGAAAGAGCTCTCTCAGCCCCGTCTTCCTCACAGGGTGTCTGTTGTGGGGAGGGGAAGGGAAAGGAGTTTGTAAGCCATTATGATACTCCCAAGTGAAGGGCGGGGTATAAATCCAATCTCTCCTCTTCTTCTTCAATTCAAGCTGCATTTGTGATGGGAATTTATATCGGATTCTTAAAGAGCTGTTTGCTGGATTGGGAGCCAATCCTTAGAGAGAAAGCCAGATAAAATGCCACAGACGATGTAAACATTGTGTTTGATTAGTAAAGTTTTTGGTATCTCCCATCTTATTAAGTAAAATCCTATCAACGCACTTAATCTAAAATTCTCATCATCCTTTCTTTTAATTACCACAAAGTATGTAGAGAACATGCGCCTCAATGGTCCAAGAACAATTAACGACCACGTTCGTAAAGGAGCCATACAAATACATCTTGAAGGCTGATGATATAGGTGGGCTAAAATACAGGCTCTGACAGGCATGAGCTGTGAGGATAAAATGGAGGGGAGAAGACTGATATAGGCCCCTGTTGGTCCCTATTCAGGAGGAATGTCATGTATAAATGATGCGAGTGTGAAGTGTCGTCAAGTTGCTTCCGACTCATATGAATTAATGACAGGGCTTTTTTTGTAGAAAAAGCCCAGCAGGAACTCATTAGCATATTAGGCCGCACCCCTGACAGCACAGCTCATTAGCATATTAGGCCACACCCCGTGTTATCAGAAGTGTGGTCATCCAGCCACACCCACCTTTTGCTTCTTATTCTGTTTGTTGTCAGAACCCAGGGATTTTTTTGGAGTAGGAACTCCTTTGCATGTTAGGCCACACACCCCTAATGTAGCCAATCCTAATGAGTTTCTGCTGTTGGGGTGTGGCCTATTATGCTAATGAGTTCCTGCTGGGCGTGGCCAACTTGGGAGCCAGCCGGAACTCCGTTCCTGTGCGTTCCTGCCCCAAAATAGCCCTGATTAATTACCTCCAAAAGGTCCTATTGTTATCAGCCTTGCTCGGGTCTTCCAAACCGAAGGCCCTCATGGCTTCCTGGATCGAGTCCATCCATCTCATGTTGGGTCTTCTTTTCCTGCTGCCTTCAACTTTTCCCGGTATTATTGTCTTTTCCAGTGAGTCTTGTCTTCTCGTAATGTATTTGTTATTTATTTATTTATTTTCGATTTATATCCCACCTTGCCTGCGCAGGCAGGCGCAAGGCGGCGTACACCAGGTTAAAATACAATAAAACACAGATGCGAAAGCGCAATACTATAAATTACTATAAAATTTCACAACAGCAATATATATAAAAGTGCAGGTAAGTGCAGATGGCTCTTGCTGTAAGATGATCCAAGGTAGCTAAACCGGTATCCGAGTTGTTCTTAATGCCATTAACATGAGGGCCGTAACAGTTCAGTTTTTCATAGCTGAATCATCAGTGGCGGCTCCTAATCAAAGGCCTGGTGGAAGAGCTCCGTTTTACAGGCCCTGCGGAACTGTAAAAGGTCCCTCAGGGCCCTGATGTCTTCCGGGATCTCGTTCCACCAGTGTGGAGCCGAAGTATGTGACCGAAGTATGATAGCCTCAGTTTGACAAATAAAGTATAAATGATATAAGCAGCATACATTTTAGCGCGGTGGATGGATCACCTTCCGTGTGTATAATAATGGACGTGTTTATTTTCATTTGGCAATTTAGAATGTAAATATGGCACTTGAGTTATGCAAATTCTCCAGAACTTGTTAATTTGAAGGTATCAAAAAGGTTTGAGCTTTTTTCTCTGACTTAATTAAAAATCAGTTTGCAACCTGACATTATATTAGAGAATCAGCCAGGGAGCTGAATTTAGAATCTAATTCAATTATTGTGGGGAGAAAATGTCAGTTTATATCTTATGTATGGAAACTCCTGAAATCAATTCATATTAATAATATTATTGAAATCTAGTTTGGGCTTGCTTTCTTTTTTCCAGGGTCGAAGCAACTAAAAGATGTCACAGATGAAGTCGACTCACATTGTCTGTACGGTCTTCCATTTGGTAACCTGACTGGCACTGTGCATTATAAGCATCAGAGAATCCTGAGAATAATTTCAGAACTGTTTTTATACTGATGATTCCAGAATCAGTTGCAAGGTGAAATACTGGTGAGTGCCGTCCATCTTATAAAAGTCTGCAGCCTCATCTAAAGCAGATGCCCGCAACGTGGCAATGCTCCCTCTAAGCTGTGGAGTCTTGTGAGCAATTTTTTTTTACTTTGTGAGCTACTGGCATTAAAGTTTTGAGTGAGTGATTTGGCTTCTGCATCAATTAGTTTGCTCTGGAGCCCTCCTTCTTGTGCTGAGACAAAAATGTTTGAGCTGAGACAAAAATGTGAGAGCCAGTTTGGTGTAGTGGTTAAGTACACGGACTCTAATCTGGGAGAACCGGGTTTGATTCCCCACTCCTCCACTTGCACCTGGCTGGATGACCTTGGGCAAGCCATAGTTCTGGCACAGCTGTTCTTGAAAAAGAGCCGTTTCTGCCAGAGCTCTCTCAGCCCCACCTACCTCACAGGGTGTCTGTTCTGGGATGAGGAAGGGAAAGGAGTTTGTAAGCCGCTCTGAGACTCCTTTGGGTAGTGAAGGGCGGGGTATAAATCCAATCTCCTCTTCTTCCTGAGCTAAGAAAAATGTGTGAGCTGGAGGCTAAAAAACTGTGAGCTAGCTCACACTAACTTAGCTTAGAGAGAACAACTGCAACGTGGTGCCCACTAACGCCTTTACTGGTACCCTCTAAGTGTTTTCAGGAAGCGGGTGGGGCCAGGTGAAGTTTTTGTCCTGCACAGATTGTCCTTAATCACTGGAGATCTGATTGGGTGTACAGATTAAAATAACATTGCTGCAGTAGCAGCTGCCACCCCAGGTTTTTTTCCTCCTCACTCCCCTTTCCAAGTGTATTTTTTAGATAAGCCCTCTTCTCCCCTGCACTTGGACTTCCTACAGCAGCCATTTTGTGGTTACGCCCACTACCCTGTCAGAATTCCTAATGTGCCCACAGGCTCAAAAAGGTTGGTGACCCGTGCTCTAAAGCCAGTTTGGTGTGGTAGTTAAGTGTGCGGACTCTAATCTGGGAGAACCGGGTTTGATTCCCCACTCCTCTACATGCAGCTGCTGGATGTCCTTGGGAAAGCTGTAGTTCTGTCAGAGCTGTTCTTGAAAAAGAACAGTTTCTGTCAGTTCTCTCAGCCCCATCTACCTCACAGGGTGTCTGTTGTAGGAAGGGAAAGGAGTTTGTAAGCCGCTCTAAGACTCCTTCGGGTAGTGGGCGGGTTATAAATTCAATCTCTTCTTTTAAAATTCTATTTTGTCTTTGTTTTGTTTCTGTGGGGGTTTTTTCTGAAAGTGACGTGTGGCAAAGCATATTTTGATGTTTTCTGTGTTTTGGCTAGCTCATGTTTCCATTTAGCAAGAAAGAAGTAAATGGGAATAAAAATGGACTTGAACGCTCGAAGTTACTTACTTCAGAACTGCAAATCTCTGGAAAGAGATATCAAAACTTCTTACATAATGGATCATATGATTGCGGATGAGGCGTTAACGTTACAAGAGGAGGAGAAAGTGAAAGCCCAGGTGAGTGACTTGCAGTTTTTAAATTCTCCTTCCTGTTTGTCAGGACTTTGGGGTTTTATGGCTGCGGCCACAGGAATAGGAATTCAGACAGGAGTTCAAGATGTGGGGCTGGGGAAAGCACAAAGAAGGGCAACCAGGATGGTTAAGGGGTTAGAGTACTTTTCCCGTGAGGAAAGGCTGGAGAATCTGGGACTTCTTTTTTTAAGACAGCTAAGGTGCGACATGAGACATAAAATAGACATGGGTTGGAGAAAGTCAGTAGAGCTTTTTCTTCCTCTCCCATACCACCTATGAGGAAAGGTTAAGGCGCTTAGGGCTCTTTAGCTTGGAGAAACGACGACTGAGGGGTGACATGATTGAGGTTTATAAGATTATGCCTGGGAAAGAGCAGGTAGAGAAAGAGGTACTTTTCTCCCTTTCTCACAATACAAGAACTCGTGGGCACTCCATGAAATTGCTGAGGTTAGAACGGATAAAAGGAAGTACTTCTTCACTCAAAGAGTGATAAACACATGGAATTCACTGCCACAGGAAGTGGTGGCGGCTACAAGCATGGACGGCTTCAAAGGGGAATTAGATAAGCATATGGAGCAGAGGTCCATCAGTGGCTATTAGCCACAAGGTATAGGTAGGGGCTCTGGGGCAAGTGATGCTCCGTCTTCTTGGTGCTGGGGGGGGGTCAACAGTGGGAGGGCTTCTAGTGTCCTGGCCCAACTGGTGGACCTCCTGATGGCACCTGGTATTTCTGGCCACTGTGTGATACAGAGTGTTGGACGGGATGGGCCTTTGGCCTGATCCAACATTGGCATCTCTTATGTTCTTATGTTCTTAACTCAGGGTCATCCAGTGAAGGTTCTGGTAAATAGGTTCAAAACAGAGAAAAGGCAATGCTTCTTTATTCAATGAGTAATTAAACTGTGGAATTCATTGCCAGTGGAGGTAGTAATGGCCGCTAGTATAAGTGGCTTTAAAAGGAGGGGAGACAGGTTCATGGAGCAGAGAGGTCCATCAGTGCCCGCTAGCCATGGTGACTAAAAGGGGGCTTTCATCTACAGAGGCAGCAAACCTCTGAATACCAGTGGTGGGAGGCAGCATCGGAGAAGAGCCTTGACCTCTGTGCCCGCTTGATTTATTTAGCCCTCCAGGGCAACTGGTTGGCCACTGTGTGTAACAGGTTGCTGGACTAGATGGACCATTGGTCTGATCCAGCAGGCTTCCATGTATGTTCTTAAAACCCAGCATTAGTATTCATGCACCAGTGACATGAACTGCCTCAGAAAGTGGGGTTGGCACAACACACTCATGCTAACAGTTGTTGTTGTTCCTGTTATTGCCGGAATCAGTTCAGTCACCATCTGCATATCCGTGCTCAGCTGAGTATAGCAGAGGTAAAATAGGGAAGGATTACATGTGAATTTCTGAAAGATCCTCTGGTTCTTTAAGCACTTTAGAATCTCTCTGATTTAAGTGGGGGAAATTTAACAACATATTTATCTCTTCCACTGAAATCATACAAGTCGAAAGTGCTGAACTTTTGGTGGATTGTACCAATTGTATTGGGCCGTGGTGGCTCAAGTGGTTAAGACGCTGAGCTGCAGACCGGAAGATCGGTAGTTCGGCAGTTCAAGACCCAAGTGTTGCATGACGGAGTGAGTTCCCGTCTCTGGCCCCAGCTCCTGCCAGCCTAGCACTTCGAAAGCAAGAAATTGCAAGTAGATGAATAGGTACCACGTTGGTGGGAAGGTAACAGCGTTCTGTGCGCCTTGGCGTTTAGTCATGCCGGCCACATGACCACGGAGAAGTCTTCGGACAGTGCTGGCTCTTCGGCTTGGAAACGGAGATGAGCACCACCCCCTAGAGTTGGATTCGATTGGCTTTCGAGCAAGGGAAGCCTTTACCTTTTTACTAATTGTATAATGGTGTCCTTTTTCTTCCGTTAGACTTCCCAGAGGGAACGAGCAGCTATGCTTCTAGAAATAATCCTCACCAAAGATAATCATGCGTACATATCCTTTTATAATGCTCTGCTTCATGAGGGCTACAAGGATCTTGCTGCCCTTCTCCAAGATGGCATCCCTATTATTTCACCTCTTAACGGAAAGAATCCAGTGGATGGAGTGACCTCATACGGTCAGTCTTGACAAGTTGTTACTCGTGCATAAGAATTTAATGGGTGTAAACTTTTGTTTTGAGTGATTAACACATGGAGTTCACTGCCGCAGGAGGTGGTGGCGGCTACAAGCATGGACAGTTTCAAGAGGGAATTAGATAAGCCTATGGAGCAGAGGTCCATCAGTGGCTATTAGCCACAAGGTATAGATAGGAACTCTCAGTCTGGGGCGAGTGATGCTCTGTATTGTTGAGGGGGGGACAACAGTGGGAGGGCTCCTAGTGTCCTGGGCCCACTGATGGACCTCCTGGTGGCACCTGGTATTTTTGGCCACTGTGTGACAGAGTGTTGGACTAGATGGGCCATTGGCCTGATCCAACATTGGCTTCTCTTATGTTCTTATGTTGGAAAGAATAGTTTAAATTGTCTTCTTTGAAGAAGCCTTTCAGGAAACAGTTACTGCAGAGTCTTCATTTCAGTGTGATTCGGGCTTGGATCCAAAGGTGTTATGTTGGCATAATGACATTTCTGCCAACAGAACAGCATTTTAGTTGGCAAAGAGCTGTGGGTTTTGGTGCTTCCTCCCCTCCCTCTGCAAACCCCAGTTTACTCCCCACACTGTTTTAGGAGCATCCACTGACCCCCCAGGAGCATACTTTTGGGATCAAAGAAAACTGGTGGGAGTAGAGTTGATGGATTTGCCTTCAGACGCCGTTTGCACTGTTTAGGAGGCAAGCCAAAATGTCTACTGAATGTTTAAGGTATCCAGGTGCAGACAGGAGTGTGAGAGAAAATTGAAATGCTATTGGGAGTGTGCTGCTTGTACTGTAACCATTAGAAATGTGATTGTTTTTACACGGTTGAATTCGTGTTTCAGTTCAGAACCTGGAACACACTGACTGTTTTGTTGAATGATGTTAAGTGAAGGACGTTCTCAGTTTCTTACCATTCATCCTATTAGCCATCTGTTTTGCCTTTCTTTTGGAGGCTAGGAATCGTTCTGTATATCTGGTGGGGTAAGCTGCTGGCAGTGCTGTTGCTATTTGCTTGTGAGCTACTTGATAATTAACCGTGGACTTTGGAAATGTATACCCATGTGCAGTGACATATTCACACAGAAGCAGACTTTCATGTGTATCTTTAGCTGGCAGGAAAATTGTGGGCATGATTTCACAATTTGACCCAGCAACTGGATCTACACATATCTAGTCTTTTTTTTAAAGGATGTTTAGAATGTAGTGCTGCATATGGTCCACCTCCTATGCTCTTCCTTCCACATTAAACAACTGATAAGCATGATCAATGTTCCCTGTAAGCTGTGGAGTCCTGTGAGCAAAAACTCTACTTTGTGAGCTACTGGCATGAAAGTTGTGAGAGAACGATTGGGCTCCTGCATAGATTAGTTTGCTCTGGAGCCCTCCTTCCTGAGCTGAGAAAAAAAGTGTGAGCCGGGGGCTAAAAAACTGTGAGCTATCTCACACTAACTCAGCTTAGAGGGAACACGGAGTATGATTCTTGCTTTCGTTGAAAGGGTTGACCACCATGGTTGACCTCTATAGTTGTATACTAATGTATCATCATCACTCTCATTTGCACTTGCACTTTTGGTGGTAGACTACATGAAAGATCTGTTGTGGAGATGACTGCATTAGTTTGTATATTGGGGCTGGTGAACTGGTATTTCTGATCGATACTGTGAAAAGTAAAGAACTTCAGGTGATATTTGAGCTAACTGTTCTCTTATCCCTCTCCTTTCTGGATTTCAGTTAAGACTGTCCTTTGTGAAGGTGGAGTTCCACAGCGACCGGTAGTCTTTGTCACTCGTCCGGAACTAACAAAAACAATCCAACAGAAACTGTACAGGCTAAAAAGTGATTCCGGATGGGTTATTGTTTATGGAATGGCAGGGTGTGGAAAGTCTGTCTTGACAGCAGAAGCTCTACGTGACCACAGTCTTTTGAAAGGTATTTGTAATTACCCTGTATCAGTTATATGTATATGTATTTTCCATTGTTCTAGTTCTGAAACTGAGCTTTCTTAAGAATATGCAAGAAGTTAGGGAAGCATGAATTCATTCATATAAAACCTGTGACCCAGTACTGAATACAGAGAATCAAAGGCTGGTTTCCTGTGCACTTGTAACAAGCAAGTAGCACGGTCGGATGGTGTGGCTTAGTTACTTCGCACAGCATGCTGCTATTGCTACCATAGTACAAGGATCTGACTGTCAGTATTTTGGAGTTAGAAGCCTGCGTGTATGCCTTGTGTGATGATGCATGCAGTATGTCTACTAGAATGAATGCAAACATCTTCCGGTACCCCTTTTCAGTTACCTTTTTGTTTTTTTAAAAAATGTCCTAACTCAGTTTCGTTTTTGTTCAGGCATGCTTGTTCACTGTGACTTCTTAATTATATCTTGGCGTATTTTTTGCTAGACTGCTTCCCCGGGGGAGTCAACTGGGTTTCTGTTGGCAAACAAGACAAGACAGGACTGCTAATGAAACTCCAAAACCTGTGCATGAGACTAGACCAAGACTTCACCTTTTTGCAGAGGCCGCCGCTAAACATAGAGGAAGCTAAGGATCGCCTTCGTTGGCTGATGCTACGCAAATACCCAAGGTGCTGTCTATGGAACAGAGCAGTTTAAATTCAACTTGGCTAAGGTTGTTCTCTTTTCCCAACCCCCTTTCTCCAGGCTTTTACATGCAGCATGTGCAAATCAGATTCTTTTTTCCAGTTTCAAAATAAATGATGTGGAAGGGTGTGACGTCCTCCTTATTGGGGAGGATTAGTTTCACTTTAAAAGTTCTCTTTATGTTGTTTAACTGGTTAGATTCTGCTGCCACCAGGAAATTTTAAGGATTTCCAAACCTTTATGCTTTTATTTTTGCTCTTACTAGTTTGGTAGACCGAGTTTAAGGCTTACGAGGAACTATGTGGTCCTGGGAAGTATTTCATTCAGAGCTGGTATAAACTTGGATAAAAGAGGATTTATTGAAATAAATACTAAATAAGAGGGTAGTACAATATAACTAGTAATGTGTAAATGATGAACAATTGCTTTGGTATCACACACAATCTCATCCCTCACTGACAGGGATCTTTTCATGTAACTTTGTAACACTTGTTTATCTCAATGCCAGTTTGTTATAACACTCAGACTTTCCTTTAACTTTTCTTCATTTAAACTTTACTTTACTTTTTCCTATACACTCAGCTTTCAGCTCCCTTTCTTTTTCTCACTGAACAACCTCAGCTGTCAGTTTCTAACGGCTTCCACACAGAACTGCCTGTCTACATCAACTGTCAACTTGTAACTGAAACTCCTGACAGACTCACATACTCATCCACCCAGATTCACTTCCAAAACCCCTCCCCCTCTCTGTCAACCACCAATCATACCACACTTGTCTGTCTCAACCACTGTAGTCTATCTACCACAGCCATGCAACCAAACTTTTAAAGAGACACACACACACAAAAACAAGGAATTGTTACAAAGGGATTTATTCCCAAGATCAGTTCTTAAGTTAGCCGCATATTGGGAACAATTTGCCAAGTTTGCTTTCAAAAGTTTGCTTTGCATGTTTATGAAGTTTGTGGAAATTGAATTGTTTTATAAAACTTACGCATACAGGATTGGTGGCTATTTAATTGCTTCTTCTAAGCCTTTCTAAACTCTTCTTCTAAGGAGCTCAGGGCACCATGCGTTAGTTCTCCCAGCCTCCCACTTATCCTCACGACAACCTTGTGAGGTGGGTTATACGGAAAGAGAGTATCTGGTTCAAGGTTACCAAACGATTGGAATCCGGTTTCCAACCCCTCAACCCCAGTCCTAGCCACTGCAAGACTTTTGGTTTCTCTTTTATATTTGAGACCTATAGGTAAGCCCTGTGCATACATGCATACACACAGTACCCTCTCCTCTCCTACCCATAGATATCTAGGCCCCACTGATAATACACACATCAAAATAAATCTATTCTTTCACATTATAAAAGACTGCACAACAACACACCATAGAGAGCCAGTGTGGTATACTGGTTAGAGTGACATAGACCCTGGTTCAAGTCTCTGCTCTGCTACGGAATATAAGAACATCAGAAGAGCCCTGCTGGTTCAGACCAATAATCCATCTAGTCCAGCATCTTGTCTCACACAGTTGCCAACCAGTTCCTCTGGAGAGCCAACAACAGGGCATAGAGGCCGAGGCCTTCCTCTGATAAGAACATAAGAAAAATCCTGCTGTATCAGAGCAGTGGTCCATCTAGTCCACCATCTTGTCTCACACAGTGGCCAACCAGTTCCTCTGGAGGGCCAACAACAGGGCATAAAGGATGAGGCCTTTCCCTGATGCTGCCTCTGGCTCTGGGATTCAGAGGCTTAGCACCTCTGAATGTGGAGGTTCCCCTCAGCCACCACAGCTAGTAGCCATTGGTAGACTTATCCTCCATGTATCTAATCCCCTTTTAAAACTGTTTATTCTTGTGGCCATCACTACATCCTCTGGAAGCTTACTTGGTGACCTTGAGTGACTGTCCCGCCCCCCCCATCCCTCAATTATCTCACAGGGTTGTTGTGAGGATAAAATGGAGATGAAGAAAATTATGTAAGCCCCTTGAGGAAAGAGGTGGGGTATAAGTGAAGTACATTAATAATGACAATAATATATAAAGTGATCCAGAGGTTACAGCATGCGTGCGTGTAAACTTTCTCCATTTTGTGGCTTGGATTGGACGAGTGTTTCTGAAAGGATTCCCATTACTGAAAATGTAATGTGGGTTACATTTTACAGAACAGTTATGCAGTGTAATAATCTGTTTAACTGAGACTTTATTAACTATGTCACTATTTGTTAACTTAATTTGAAAAATATAAAGTACTTAGAAAATGTTGTTCAATTATGTCTATCACTGCTATAGCCTCGGAAATCTTCCCAAAGAACTATTTGTTTTCTTCTGGGCAACTTTAATTGTCCTGAATGTATTTTTGCACCTATGAAACTTAACTTCTGGCTGTGCTAAAGGGTTCACTTACGAAGTTACCGAATAGGAGTAATTTAGAAAAAAAACGTAATCAGACTCTCAAATCAAGTGTTCGATGAACATGCGTAGTGGCTCAAAATGCATTCACAGATTGACTCCAAGTTTGCCATCTTTTTTTTTTTAATAGGTCTCTCTTAGTACTCGATGACATTTGGGATTCCTGGGTATTAAAAGCATTTGACAGTCACTGCCAGATTCTTATCACCAGCAGGGACAGAAGTGTGGCAGATTCTGTGAGTGGTAAGGATTTTTTTCCTGTCTCCCTAATTTCATGTGTACTTTTCTTATCGTGTGAACATTTTTCTTGCTGATACAAGGCCAGTTTGGATGGTAACTTGGCTCACCTGCCATGGGGGAGTGGAAAGGAGAGCAAGAACCCTCTTACCTTTCCTTCCTGACCACCTGGAGAGCACAATCTCTGCCAGCAGCTGTCCAAGGGGTGGCATAATGGGGCTAAATCCAACATAGGTTCATATTATGTAGCCAGTTCCAAGATTTTAGCTTAGTCACTGACACCTATCTTTGAAACTGTGACATTGACCCATATCGCTGAAATCTTGACATGCTGGAGATGGACTTATTTATATGATGCAACATGTGAGCAGTCAGAAGGAGGGCAAGTACATGCCAGTTGCTAATCAGATGCTCCCTCTCTCACTGGGTGTCAGGCTGAGTATTGTCTGTAATGTATGTAACAGGATATAGCAGGTCCTGGACATTTTTCTTCTCCCAAGGGCTTAGAAGGATCTTTTAAAGTCACCAGTGGCTATCTCATTACTCACCCTGGAACCATTTTTTAAATATATTTTCATTAATTTTCCATATAGATTATGTAGATAGTTAAACGTTAGCTAAACAGGAATACGAACTGTTAGTCGGGAAGCACTACACCAGGGACCAGAGAGACACACACAAGCTATAAATAAATCATTACATCACCATAATGAGTCAGTCACCATAATGAGTCAAACAGATCGTAAATAACGATTACCTAAAAGTCAGTGAGTCAAGTAGACTATACAATTTACATAATGCTGTCTCTTCAATAAATCTAACGTAGCATCTAAATTTCTACCCAAAACAGAGAGATTCAAGAAAAAATTATCTAAATCTTCCCCAAATAGGTAATTGCCACCTCATGAAGGAAGCATATATATTTCTGAAAAGAATTTGTCAAAAGCGTTCAAACATAAGCATCTGCATTGGTTTAAAGAGGGTCAAATCACCCTCTTCATGTTTATTCTTCTAAAACATAATGAGAAAAGTCCATTTTTTCAAGAAACGTATTGGATACTAAATGCTGATTATTTAGTGTTTGTAATTTTATTTTTTAAATTTGTTTATATATTTTATTAGATCTGTATCCTGCCCTCCCCTCAAGCAGGCTCAGGGCTGGTTCCATACAATTTCCAATAATAATTAAAACCAATTTAAAACAACAAAATTAAAACAGTACATTTTCGTTAATTATGCAATATTCTGTCACTCATGTTCTCCTGCACTGTAATCTGTACACGGACCTAAGGATCACACATTTATATTCTCTTTTAACCAGTATGGGTGCTTGTTCTGATGCACTTAAGGTGCATAGACTTTTAAGTGATCTCAGCCCGGACATTACAGAGAAGGTGGCTAAGTTTCTCTCCTTGGCTTTAAAGCTGCGTCTAAGGTTCTTTTAGATTTTTGTATGTGTGCTTTCAACTGGTTTTAAAATGTATAAATGGTACTGATATTTTATGCCAATAAAGGCTGACTTGACTTGATATTCCAAATTTTATACAGCATTTTGATACTGTGAGTGTATTTATACATTTCTGATGAGATACTGTGTGTGTGTGTGTATGTGTATACACACACACACACATATTTGCAGAAATTAGCATATTCAAATTCATTCCAAGATCAACATCAGGATCTCAGTTTTTGAGTAAAACATAGTAAAACCATTTTTGGATTTTGAAACCATTTTAAAGCAACGGGGAAAGATACAGCATTTTTTTAAGTTGTGAAGACTTGCTGAAATTTGGCCATCACATTTAATCTAATGCATACAAAATATAGAATCTGTATGATACTTAGAGCTTTCACAAGTTGGTAAATGTATTTCTTGCTAATTTCAAATTTTAACCCTAACCCAGGCAACAAATATGAAGTTCCTCTGGAAAGTGGGTTACCACACGACAAAGCACTTGAGATTTTATCTCTGTTCGTTAATATGGAAATAGTGGAGCTGCCGGAAAAAGCTGATAGTATTGTAAGAGAATGCAAAGGTATGCATTTTTAGCTTTTTTCTCCCTTATAAAAATGTTGACCGTTTCTCAGTCCTTATCTGCACAAATGCCGTTTCGAAAAAATTAATTACTTTGTAAATTTGTTTTTGTTCTGATGATAATGAGCCCTCCTCTGTTGTTCTTAAGCATAATGATGTTGCATCTCTTTCAGAGCATCGCCTTGTCATTTTGTGATCTTTTTAACTAAAAAAAATAGTTCTAGTCTGTTAGCTCCCACTCACTACTTCTGGAGCGTTTGTCATCTGGTCAGTGGAAGATGTGAGGAGCAGGTTGCTTTCTTGTCAACCTCTCTTCTCCATTTCAAATTTTACATAGCTCCAACTGTCCCATTGTTCCCTGGGCCACCATAGATTAGCTGTCAAGGTTCTCAAAACCCCCAAAGCAGTCTGGAATCCGTGTGGATCCATGAACCTCCAAGGGTGGATCTTCCTAATAAGTAAATGGTGCATCAGTTGCATCGGTGCTTAGTTCATCGTGGCCCTTTCTTACAGGCCCAGGGAAATGCTGATCGCTACTTTGGGGTCAGGAAGCAGTTTTTCTCCAGGCCAATTTGCCCGGGGATCCTGGAGGTTCTTTGTCATCTTCTGGGCATGGAACAGGGGTCACTGGGGGTGTGGGGGAGAGGTATTTGTGAATTTCCTTCCTTGTGCAGGGGGTTAGAATCATAGAATCATACAATCATAGAGTTGGATGGTACATCCAGGGTCATCTAGTCCAGCCCCCTGCACAATGCAAGAAATTCTCTAGATGACCCTAGAGGTCCCTTCCAACTCTATGATTCTATGTGTGCATAGAGGGAGGCTCTACAGAAGGAGGCTGTAATCTCAGCCATACCTTTAGCAGGGAAGCCCCCCCCACTGTTGCCACCCAGGCACCAAGTTTTCTTCTCTCTTATGTTCTGTTCCCTTGATGCCTTTAAAAGAAGTGAAAATCCTTCCTTTCCTCAGCCAATAAGTTAAGGAAATAAACATTGTATACATTTATACCCCACCTTTCTCCCCAGGAGGGGAACCAAAGCAGCATACTTCCCTTGTCCCTTTTACAAGGATTTACAAGGTCCCCTTTCCCCCGTCTTTCCAATTCAACCTGTTTGTTTCTGTGTTTCAGGTTCTCCCCTTGTGGTGTCATTGATAGGAGCGTTGCTACGAGATTTCCCCAACCGCTGGGATTACTACCATAAACAACTTCAAAATAAGCAGTTCAAACGAATAAGGAAGTCGTCCTCTTACGATTATGAAGCGCTCGATGAAGCAATGTCCATAAGTGTTGAAATGCTGCGGAAAGATCTTAAAGACTACTACACAGATCTTTCTGTCCTTCAAAAGGACATTAAAGTGCCTTCAAAAGTAAGAGTCATTCTAAATCGATACCTGGTCTGTGTGTGACGATTGTGAGAATTACGATGCCGTTTATTGGATGCTTTGTTGATAACCCGCGTTTCTCCAAGTATTAGGATGGTGGCTATCATGAACATAAAGTGCACGTGGAAGCAGAACTTCCACATCTACCGTTTTTCCCCTAAGATACCTCTAAAAAGCCAGTGTCGGGAGACACTTTTGACAGAATGTCATGTGACACAGGAAGCTGCGGAGTGGGGAAGATCTGGTAAAGCGCCCTCCCCCCCTCTTCGTCTGAAGGCGGTTTGCGGGGAATGCTCCGAGAGAGGAAGGTGGAGGGGGGCAATCCCTTCTAATTCCCTCTCCTCGCTGCATTCCCCTGTTGCTACTCCCAGCATTGGCTTTTAAGGAGGTTTTTACAGCCCCTTGAGGGATCACATGAAGCTGCCTTATACAGAATCAGACTTTCTATCTATCAAAGTCAGTATTGGCTCCTCAGTTTGGTGGCAGGTCTCCAGGAACTTGGGCAGAGCCAGTTTGGTGTAGTGGTTAAGTGTGTGGACTCTAATCTGGGAGAACCGGGTTTGATTCCCCACTCCACTTGCAGCTGCTGGATGACCTTGGGCAAGCCATAGTTCTGTCAGAGCTGTTCTTGAAAGAGCAGTTTCTCTCAGAGCTCTCTCGGCCCCGCCTACCTCACAGGGGGTCCATTGTGGGGAGGGGAAGGGAAAGGAGTTTGTAAGCCGCTCTTAGACTCTGAGTGAAGGGCGGGATATAAATCCAATCTCTTCTTCTTCTTTCACATTACCTACTGGCAAATTCTTATGCATGCCAAGCAAGATGCTCTACCACAGAGCCATGGTGGTGGGCACTGTGCAGCTTCCAAGGGTATCCCCTGTTGGTTAATGTCTTAGCTTCTGCATAAATTGAGTTAAACAAAAATATGGTCAACATTATCAATGTTGTCTCAGTAACAGAGAAAAATATGACCGAATTCTATGGTAAAAAATTTACTTGGTACCCATATAGCATATTTATCCAAGTCAGCAAGTTATCCAAGTTTTTGAAAAAGAAGATCCACTAAGATCATCTCCTCACAGATTACATTTTCAATGTGTTAAATTTTAATCTCTCCTACATGTTGTCTTTCTTGTAGTCTGTCTGTGTAGCTTATACCTCTTTACTGAATAGTTTTTGAAGGAATTCTGGACCGGTCTCCTGTCTTTTCTGGATAGGCTAACAAAAATCTAAAAGATTTAGCTGTTTAATGTGTGAGGTAACCTTGTTTCATGGGGCTATAGCTGAGATAGTCACACCATGGGGATTCTGTGATATATAGAGATTTTTAGATGCAAATAATGGTGCTGTCCTTTCCTCAGGATTGCTTGAGATCTAGTAGCAGTGGACTTCCCCCTTGTTGGTATTTGCAGTTTTGATTATGGCGCTTCTAAAGAGTGTGAATGATTTTCTTAACTCCAGGACTAGTATGCATTCCTGGAAGTTCAACCTGTTAATCATTTTGACTACGCATGAACAAACTCTGCAGGTTTCACTGTTTTTTTTTGTGGTTGTATATTAAGTGTATTCATTCAGCACACTTTTGTTTGTGAAGTAGATTATTACTGCTGCAGTGATTCGCTTCTTGACCAGTTCTTTTGTTTCACAATGTATTTTAGGTGTTTTGCATCCTTTGGGACATGGAGACTGAAGAAGCTGAAGACATACTGCAGGAGTTTATTAACAAATCTCTCTTGTTTTGTGATCGGAATGGAAAATCGTTCCGTTACTATTTGCACGATCTTCAGCTCGATTTCCTTACAGAGAAGAATCGCTCCCAGCTTCAGGTATCTCTGGTGATTCTTTTCAGATATCTGCTTTATAAGGAAAGTAGATAAACCTTAAAACACAGACAGCCGTGTGTTTTGTCAATATACAAAATCTATTACTAGTGGTGACACAAGTCTGTCAGTATAGACCAGAGGTCCCCTAATCTTTCTGAGCCCACCACAAAGTAGCTGCTTTGTGAATGGGGCAAACCACAAAATGGCTGCTGTGGGGGGAATCAGATAGTGTTTGGAGGGTCCAAGAGCAATATTCTCCTGTGATGGGAACAATAAATGGTTGCTCCCTGAAGGCCCAAAGGCTGTGCCCCCTGGGGATCTTCTGAAGCTCTTCCTACTGCATTGAGTTGAAGGAGGGCGATTCTGGTATTTCTAAAATGCTCATCTACACTGCATACAGCCCTGCATAGCAGCATTTAATTTCCTGTATGAGTCAGGAGCGTGCATCTTTCCTATTACAATGCCAAACAGCAGCAAAAAATAAGGAACAAGTGGAGTTTTGGGGGAAAATAGCTTTGTACTTCCTCAAAACAAAACCACATCAGAGGAGTTTTCCTGTACTTCTCAAAGTGCTGGCAAGTCAAAGAAAGTGTGCTTTATTCGTAGCATGCATCAGAAAACCCCCAGAACAGCCTGTACCTTTGCCTTTTCTAACATAGCTTCCACTTTGTGGAATGGGTTCCCAAGGAGGTGGCCGGGGGGGGGGGGGGGGGGGGGGGGGATCTACAGAACCTTCTATGATGCATTTATTTGCTGGGGGTTTAAATTGAGGTATAAACTGCAGGTATCTTTTGTGGACAGGATGTTATTTGGGAAATTGTGATGTTTATGATTTGTAGCCTTGATCCACAAGTAAAAGTGGGATGTTACTATTTTTATAAATAAACCCTGTACTGTTGTATATCCTGTGGTGGGGGTGGGGTTGATTTGCTTGTTCTAGTCTGTAATCAACTATAGGAAAGGATTCAAAATACCTCCCAACCATCTGTGAATTCTCCCTTTCCCTCTCCCTAACTTTATTGTGGTCTGGGATTGCCCATTAGTGTACAGCGTGTACTTAACTGCATGAAGACAGAACTCGCTGGAAAAGACTATAATGCTAGGGAAAGTTGAAGGCAATAGGAGAAGAGGGCGACCCAACATGAAAAGGATGGACTCAATAAAGGAAGTCTTCGGTTTGGAAGCCCTGAGCAAGGCTGTTGATGAGAGGACGTTTTAGAAGTCATTCATACATAGGGTCGCCATAAGTTAGAATCATAGAGTGGGAAGGGATCTCCTGGGTCATCTAGTCCAACCCCCTGCACAATGCGGGAAATGACTTGACATCACTCAAGTGGTTAAGACGCTGAACTGCAGATCGGAAGGTTGGTAGTTAAGCAGTTTGAGACCCGAGTGCCGCATGACGGAGTGAGCTCCTGTCTCTGGCACCAGCACCTGCCAACCTAGAAGTTCGAAAGCAAGAAATTGCAAGTAGATAAATAGGTACCGCTTCGGTGGGTAGGTAACAGCGTTCCATGCGCCTCGGCATCTAGTCATGCCAGCCACATGACCAGGGACATGTCTTTGGACAGCGCTGGCTCTTCAGCTTGGAAACTGAGATGAGCACCACATCCCTAGAGTCGGGTTCCACTGGCTTTCAAGCAAGGGAAACCTTTACCTATGGTGCAGGTCATTAATATTGCTGTCTGTATTGCATTTTATGATTGGAGTGTAATCTGCTGTTGTATTTTAGTTGAATGGCTTTGATCCCACCTAGAATTTCTGAGAGACACAAGGGTGGATGACTTCTATAGATCCCCTTGCATCCCAAAATACCCCTCCAAATACTGGTCCTGTGGGATTGGGACCACCAGGAATATCTTGGGGGGGGGGGAATTGGAGAAGATCACCCTCCCTCCTCCTGCCTATGGAAATTTAGGTGGGATCCAAGCCAATGCCTAACCAAAAGAGAAATTCAGTAGTATAATATTAACATTTTATTAATTTCATAGGAGCTACATAAAAAGGCAGTCCATCAATACAAGAGACATTATAAACATTCTGTACCGAATCCGTCACAAGAGGACTGCATGTATTGGTATAATTTTCTGGCTTACCATATGGCGAGTGCTGATATGCATGAGGTAAGTGAAAATTAATGTGTCTTCCCATTCTGTACACTGTTCCATGCAGGGACTAACGGCAATCCCGGTTCTTAATTTCATCTTCTTGAAACTCTGTAAAAAGGAGGGGGTTTTGTTTATGCGATGAAAAATGAAAATTATTTCTTTAGATGGCTTTACTTCTTGAAAGTAACATTTTTTCCTGTGATCCAGTTTAGAGCATTGAACAAACATCCGTATTTTTATAGGTGTCGTGTGCACATTGTTAATTCCATGGAAACTGAAATCGCATGCTAAGAGAAGTTAGCAGTATTTATGGTTTTTAACCCTAGGTAAAGGTTCCCTTGCTCGAAAGCCAGTCGAGTCGACTTTACGGTTGCGGTGCTCATCTCCGTTTCAAAGCCGAAGAGCCAGCACTGTCTGAAGACATTTCCATGGTCACGTGGCCGGCATGACTAAACACCAAGGCGCACGGAACGCTGTTACCTTCCCACCGAAGTGGTCCCTATTGATCTACTTGCCATTTCTTGCTTTCGAACTGCTAGGTTGGCAGGAGCTGGAACCAGAGACGGGCGCTCACTCCGTCATGCGGCACACTCGGGTCTCGAACTGCTGAACTACCGACCTTCCACAGCCTGCAGTTCAGCGTCTTAACCACTTGAGCCACCGCAGCTCCTGTTTTTTAACCCTAACCCATCTTAAAAGCCATAAAGATCTTTTCCATTGACTCCACTCTGTTCATAGCTCTTAGGAAGAACCAAGCCTTTATGTTGTGATTATGAAGTTCCTTCAGAAATGCAAACAGCCTCTGTGGGAAGATCTGGGAGCCAGGAGTAAAGTAACATGATTCTGCATGCAGAAGGTTCCTGTTCAGGCTCTGGCACTTTCAGTGAAAGAATCTCAGGAAGCTGATGCTGAAAAATACTTTCTTTCCCTGAGGATCTGGAGACCCAGTGCCGGTCAGAGGAGGTCCGTCTGGGTAGAAAGCAGCATCTTAACCTGTCTGTGCATTTCTACATGTAACATAGGGGCTGCGGTGGCTCAGTGGTTAAGACGCTGAACTGCAGACCGGAAGGTCAGTAGTTCAGCAGTTTGAGACCCGAGTGCCGCGTGACTGACAGAGTGAGCTCCCGTCTCTGGCCCCAGCTCCTGCCAACCTAGCAGTTTGAAAGCAAGAAACTGCAAGTAGATAAATAGGTACCACTTCGGTGGGAAGGTAACAGCGTTCCGTGCTCCTTGGCGTTTAGTCATGCCGGCCACATGACCACGGAAACGTCTTCGGACAGCGCTGGATCTTCGGCTTTGAAACGGAGATGAGCACCGCATCCCTAGAGTCGGATTTGACTGGCTTTCGAGCAAGGGAAACCTTTACCTTTACCTGTAACGTACTATTTCACAGTCCATGCATAGAGATAGTCCACCTATTTGCACCCCCACTCTAGCAGTTTTAAGAGTAGCTTTTACCCTTAATTTGCAAACCGTGTCTATTTTTTTCCCTTTTAATAGGAACTGTGTGCCCTCCTGTTTTCACTAGACTGGATTAAAACAAAAACAGAACTGTTGGGGCCTGCTCATTTGATCCATGAATATGTTGAATATAGTCGAATACTGGATCAAAAGGTATGGTGTGATAAATATACAGCTGCTTGACACCATTCACACTTCAGTTTACAGTTGCCTGAGATAATCTTACCAAATAAGTGCAGGTAATTTTGCTTTAAAGTGCATTTGCTTTAAAGTGCAAATAATTTTGTGGGGTCATTCCAAGTTCTTGCACAATTGATGTTGTGGTAGTTAGTTTGTATTGTGCTGGTGGCTTGATTTGAACAGGGCCTCTGGTTTTCAGAAAGAAGGGCTCCTTACTGTATTAACTGACTCAGCGGGGAGAATGTGGAGGAAGTGATACCTCCCAAGCAGGAACCTCCCAGTTCTGCAGTGTTCACCTTACTGGTCTTCGGACAGCGCTGGCTCTTCGGCTTTGAAACGGAGATGAGCACCGCAACCCTAGAGTCGGATTCGACTGGCTTTCGAGCAAGGGAACCTTTACCTTTACTAGGTTTCCATCAGCGATAACTATATTATTTGGTGGAATAAGCATTATATTTTACTTGCACTATTAGTGTACATGGTGGCTTTCAAAGATTTATATGCAAAAGAAATACAGGCCCTGTGTAAGAAGCTTTCAGTCTCAATTTCAGCAAAAGAAGGAGGCAATGGGGAGAAAGAAAAAGTAGCAAAATTAGGTACAGGGATATCTTGCCCGAAGGCTGGAGGCTACTTTGCAGTCTGCTACCTTAGTGGAAGATGTTGGTGAACAAATTTGGTTTCAGTCAAAGGGATCCAAATTAGTAAAACTATGTTCAGTAGAAGCAAAGTCTTTATTCAGTTGACTGTGGTCAAGGAAAGTCTATCCCTACAAAAGTTCAAGACCCTGACAACTTTACTGACAAGAGCATAAGTGTATATAGGCAAATTAACATCAGGATCTTGCAGAACTATTACACCAGTTACACAATGACTGCTCAATACTGCACCAAATCTAAACCAATAGAAAAGCAATGTTTTTCTACTTAACATATGTTATGAAGATTTTGAAACTTAACGTACATTTGAGAATACTGCTACCTTATCTAAGGTATCTAAGTCTATCCCTACAAAAGTTCAAGACCCTGACAACTTTACTGACAAGAGCATAAGTGTATATAGGCAAATTAACATCAGGATCTTGCAGAACTATTACACCAGTTACACAATGACTGCTCAATACTGCACCAAATCTAAACCAATAGAAAAGCAATGTTTTTCTACTTAACATATGTTATGAAGATTTTGAAACTTAACGTACATTTGAGAATACTGCTACCTTATCTAAGGTACGCTACAAGTGCAACACGAACTGCAGCCTACTGTCGTTTAAGAAAACAGGATCTGTGTTAAAGGTTATTTTAGGTTGGTTTGCCCTACGAGGCAAGGAATGCAGACTTTTGGAGACTGCATCTGAAAACACAGATAGCAGTGCTGGCTCATCAGTGGGTGAAGCGTTCCCCTTAATTCTTTACTTGGCCTTCAGAGACATGGCTACAATATGGCTCATTCACAGTTCACCTTTTCCCCCTTCAGTGTCTGTGTGCCTATAGCAGTGACGGGCTCTTTTTGTAGCAGGAACTCCTTTGCATATTAGGCCACACACCCCTAATGTAGCCAATCCTCCAAGAGCTTACAGAGCTCTTCTTACAGGAGCTACTGTAAGCTCTCGGAGGATTGGCTACATTAGGGATGTGTTGCTTAATATGCAAATGAGTACCTGCTACAAAAAGAGCCCTAGTTCCTATAGAGTAACAGTAATAATACCTGCCTCCAGGTTTGCTTTGGTCTGTGATGAGATATGTCTTGTTCCTAGGATACCATTGTACGTGAAAACTTCCAGGAATTTCTGTCTTTAAACGGACACCTCCTTGGAAGACAGCCATTTCCAGACATTGTACAGTTGGGATTGTGTCAGCCTGAAGACTCAGAAGTGTATCGGCAAGCAAAACTACAAGCCCAACAAGAATGTGCCAAGGGATCCCTTTATGTGGAATGGATGTTAGTAGACGCACGTTTTCTTCTTCTTTTTTTGGATAACATCTGTCCCACTGATGAGTTGTACAAAGTTTGCATGCTGTTATGGTCCTAGTAAAGGTATTAAATAGATTGTATTTAATTGGTCCTAATAAAGGTATTAAATGCATTGTATTTTTGGCTTTTACTTTAGGGCCAACGATGGCTATAAACAACTTGTTTACTTGCTCTGTAGTTGTCATACAAAACAATGCAATTTAGAGAAACTAAGGAATTATTGTTGAATTTTTTTTTGTTCACTTTGAGCCCAATCCGAGAGTACCTTTTCATGTGTGCTTGTCTTAAAAGCGTGCTGCAGGGGGTTCCTATATGCTGGTGTTTTTTCAACAGTGGTTTCTTCAGCTCAGACTGGAAGTAGTTAATGAAACCGTTTCCCCCCACCTTCCCAGCTAATTTCAGAAGCAGCTACCAATGCAGGCCAAGGAAGTTACTTTTGAGGAAACAGAAGGGTTCTTAGATGATACACAGTTCCAGTGTTATTCTTGAGCTAGAAACTGCCTGAGCAGGATGTAACAGCTGATCTACCTATTATATACGCAAGAGTCCAGTTTTTATACATGAATTGTATCACTCCTCCCACCCACCCCTATTTTCCTTTTATGTAACATACAGCTGTAGAGCAGTACCTCTGTAGAAAGAATATAATGCACCCTATTGATGAAGCAACTACTTAAATAACAGAATTATCATTCTGTTTGATGGCAGCCCCCCCCCAACACATTAATTTGCAGTAATTTGTCTGCTGAAATGCATTAAAGATTTGTCTAACAGTTACGAATATATATGAGTCACTTGTTAAAGTCTAATTAAAAGAAAGGACTCTTACATTCGGACTGAAGTTAGTAAAGGTACTGTCCTCTTATTTTTCTGTAATGCAGAAATAAAAAATCCATGAAGAACATCTACCGTTTGGTTGTGCGTCCACATAAAGATGCCGTTTACCATGCTTGTTTTTCCCAGGATAGACAGAGAATAGCATCATGTGGATCTGATAAAACATTGCAGGTAAGATATATTGGCAACTGTACATTGAGCTTTGGTTTAGAGTGCATTGGGTGATGTACGGTCTTACTTACAAAAGTGCAATTGCAGAGAAGAGGAAAACTACACCCACCCACTAACAATGCAAAATGTATGAAAGTTCGGTTTGGAAACCGCATAGTTACATTGAAATAAATATTTTGAGTTATGCAAGGTCTATTTTGACGTTATATAGAAGAAATATATACATCAAAAACAAGAATTTTTTTAAAAAATGAATGAGAAGATTACGCAAGAAGAACTGAGTGACTTTGAAAAGTCAGCCACAAATCAAAAACCTGGAAGCCTAATGAACAATATACATCACAGCTTCCAGCAGGATGTTCCGAATGATCTTTTCCAGATATATAAATATTATTCTTTTATTCAGATATAAAGTATACTTTTTTCCTTGCTTGCGTGAAGCCACCAATCAAACGAAGAGCTGAAGGTACCAGTTTTCCTCTCTTAACACTCACTCAGTGCAAGATCACAGCTGTTGCACTTTTTTGTAGGTTGTTTTGAGGGATTGCCTTTTTCATTATCTTGCGTGTGAAAGGTCATTCTGCAATAAATTGTGTAATGTTCTGCATGATGATGTGTTTTCTTCTGCTGTATGTAAATTATGGTGGGTTGACCACTTACATGTAATTCAAATAATTTGATCAACTGTTACCAGTTTTGATATACAAGTTGTCTCCAGGGGTCGTTTCGTAGAAAAAGAGCTAGGGGAACTCATTAGCAGAACTCATTAGCATATGCCTCACCCCCTGACATCTCCGGAAGTGTGTCATAAGGCCACACCCCCTGACATCACCGGAAGTGTGTCATAAGGCCACACACCTGCCCCCAACGGTCTCGGCTGCCGCCGGCGGCCTTTCAGCTCCACTGCCGAGCCCCATGAGGGGCCCGGCGGTGGACCTGCAAGGCCAGCGGGAGTGCAAGGAAGCCCTGCGAAGGCCCTCCCTGGCCCCAGGCAGGCAGGGGTGGGGAGAGGCAGGGAGGAAGCAACTTACCCTCCCTCTTCTCCTGCCTCCTCCTGGCTGAATGAGGGCCGGAAGCGGGGTGGCCGGAAGCAGGGGGCGGGGCTTCGTCATGTGCCCCGCCCCCCATACCTCACCCGGGGGAACTGCGATCCCCCGCGATCCCCCCCGAAATGACCTCTGGTTGTCTCTATATGCAGAACTTCTAAGAATACTGAAGTCTGGTGTGGACGTAACGCTGTCTGATCTCCTGATCCTGGTTAGGCTTGCTCACATGTTTTGTTCCCCCACACACACCTTGTGCTGGCCCACTCTGCCTTTCAGTTTTGGAATCATGATTACTGTTTCATCTTCACCAGCATCATTGTTAGCCCAGACTAGAGTTACTTGAAAATCGATCAAGGCTCATGTATAATGCTTTAGCATTTGTTATCTTGTACCTGCCTAGATTTTTAAAGCAGAAAGTGGTGGAAAGCTCCTGGAAGTAAAAGCTCACGACGATGAAGTGCTCTGCTGCGCTTTTTCCGCAGATGACAAGTTTGTTGCCACTTGTTCCGCGGATAAAAAAGTGAAAGTAAGCATATTGACATATCGTTAGTTCTGTTTCTAACTCTTGCCATTGAGAACGCAAGCACGTGTTTAATTTGCTTGTTTTTTGCTTTATGCTAGGGATCCTCAACCTTTTTGAGCCTGTGGGGCACCTTTAGGAATTCTGATACAGTGTGGTGGGTGCAGCCACAAAATGGCTGCCGCAGCTTGCCTTCCGTCACACAATGAAGATCCTTGTGTGGTGGCAGCTGCCGCCAAAGCAACATATTTAAAACTCCACAGAGCCAATCAGATCTCTAATGCTCAATCAAAAGCCTTACTGGGCAAAAGCCCCATCTGGCCGAGCCCACTTTCTAAAAACACGAGGCCTGGTGCCCATTCACACCACATTGGGGACACCTGGTTTATGCTTCCTGTGGAGATTTTTTTTTTTAATTGTGCTGTAATGCAAAATTATTTCAGAAAGCTTTTTTTGTCGCATACCGAGGTAAATTTTTGTATCCCGTAATATTTTTAAATTCTTTTTTTAGGTCTGGAATTCACGAACGGGTCAGCTTGTGAATTTATTTGAAGAACATACCGAACAGGTCAACTGTTGCCAGTTTAACCACATGAACCGCCACCTGTATCTGTTGGCTACCTGTTCCAATGATACTTTTATCAAAGTGAGTAGAAAAATCATAAGATAAAGTTTAGGCTTTTTTATTAAAGTTACAGATGTTGTAATTGTGGGCTAGCGTATTCAAACTGTTGGTCATCTGTGAATTTAGTACCTTTTTTTTTGTCTTGCAGTTCCCACTTTTAGCCACTGGGAGGTACATGGGTTTGTGCAGGCTTTCCAAAGTGGGGAGAGAGCATTACTACTGTCCTTCTATAGATACTTGTCTTTTCTGTTCTGAGTTTTCTGTGCTTCTGAACATCCTGCAGTCTCCTTCATGCTGCCCTTGCTTGTCCCCCAGCAAAGGGTAATTCTCTTGACCTTTACTGGCTGGCTCCCTGGGGTGTTCAAGGGTCGTTCACTTGGCCCTTGCTTCCTTCCGTCTGGAGAGCTGTTTTATATTTATTTATGCCTTAACCTCCCCACCGAAACAGGCTCAGGGCAGCTTAGTAAAGGTCAAGGTCCCCTTGCTCGAAAGCCAGTTGAGTCCGACTCTAGGGTTGCGGTGCTCATCTCCGTTTCAAAGCCGAAGAGCCAGCGCTGTTTGAAGACGTTTCCGTGGTCATGTGGCCGGCATGACTAAACACCAAGGCGCACGGAACGCTGTTACCTTCCCACCGAAGTGGTCCCTATTTATCTACTTGCAATTTCTTGCTTTCGAACTGCTAGGTTGGCAGGAGCTGGAACGTCATGTGGCAACTCGGGTCTCGAACTGCTGAACTACCGACCTTCCACAGCCTGCAGCTCAGCGTCTTAACCACTTGAGCCACCGCAGCTCAAGGCAAGGCAGCTTACAGATCCGCAAATATCATACGAGTTTAAAACAGTAAAACAAAATAAAATTTTAAAACAGTTCATAAAGTGTTACAATTTTTGATGGCAAATTAACTGTCCTTAAATGTCACCACAGAAAATGTGATCGGCGTTAGATATGAGCTGGCGTCGAGCCCCGTATATAATGTGGGTGTAGATGTTAAGCACCTAAACAGAGACAAGCAGCCAAAGATGTATTTACAGGGTACTGGTTCCTCAGTCAATGTTGAGCTGATTAAATGCGGCACCTCCGTCAAACGTTTGCTGGAAAAGCTCGTCTTGCAGGCCCTGCGGAATTGTAATAAATCCCACAGGGGCCTGATGTCCTCTGGGACATAATTTTGGGCTACCTTTTTTGGACCTACTGCTGTTGTTCCTGGTCTGCAAAATTTAATTAGAGGTGGGGTACTGAAGCTAAAAGGGAAACCGGTAAAATGTCAGAGAAGAGAAGAGAACGGGCAGCAGAGCAGTGAATGCAAAAGATGCATCCTTTGGTTTCCACTCTTCCAAACAAAATTCTTTATGTCCTCAGATTCTGTAGAACATGTAGTAGAAGGGTTTGCTTGGAGAGAGAGAGAAAAAGTTTGTAATGAAATTTACCAGTTATTTTTAAATGGTTTCATGCGGTTCTTTTATTTTTTTTATTTTTTAAATAAAGCTCTGGGATTTGAACAAGAAATACTGCCGTAACACATTGTTCGGCCACATGAATTCCGTTACTCACTGCAGATTCTCACCAGATGACAAGTATATGGCTAGTTGTTCAACAGATGGAACTTTGAAGGTATGCTTTGAGACTTCAGTATCAGTACATCAAGCGCATTTTGATTTCTATATCCTTTGTTCTGTTCAAACTTTCAATTTAACACACTTAAATACCCGGCATCTCCAGTGAAAAGGCTCAGGATAGGAGGTGATGGGAAGGACTTCTGCCTGAGACCCTGAAGAGGAGGAGGAGGAGGAGGAGGAGAAGAGATTGGATTTATACTCCGCCCTTCACTACCCAAGGGAGTCTCAGAGTGGCTTACAAACTCATTTCCCTTCCCCTCCCCACAACACCCTGTGAGGTAAAAGAAGAAGAAGAGGAGATTGGATTTATACCCTGCCCTTCACTACCCAAAGGAGTCTCAGAGCGGCTTACAAACTCCTTTCCCTTCCCCTCCCCACCAAAGACACCCTGTGAGGTAGAAGAAGAGATTGGATTTATACTCCGCCCTTCACTACCCAAGGGAGTCTCAGAGTGGCTTACAAACTCCTTTCCCTTCCCCTCCCCACAACACTCTGTGAGGTAAAAGAAGAAGAAGAGGAGATTGGATTTATACCCTGCCCTTCACTACCCAAAGGAGTCTCAGAGCGGCTTACAAATGCCTTTCCCTTCCCCTCCCCACCAAAGACACCCTGTGAGGTAGAAGAAGATGATATTGGATTTATACCCTGCCCTTCACTACCCAAGGGAGTCTCAGAGTGGCTTACAAACTCCTTTCCCTTCCCCTCCCAACAGACACCCTGTGAGGTAGGTGGGGCTGAGAGACCTCTGACAGAAACTGCTCTTTTTCAAGGACAGCTCTTGTCTGAACTACGGCTTGCCCAAGGTCATCCAGCCAGGTGCAAGTGGAGTAGTGGGGAATCAAACCCAGTTCTCCCAGATTAGAGTCCGCGCACTTAACCACTACACCAAACTAGCTCTCCAAACAGAGCTGCTGCCAGTCTGAGTAGACAACACTGACCTTGATGGACCGATGGTCTGATTCCGTATACAGCAGCTTCATGCCTGTGTCTCTGGAATAGCTGTTGTGAGAATAAATGAGATGACAGCTTTCCAAGAGAGAATGTCACAGTTCTGCTCCCTGCCTATTGCTTACTCATTCACCTACTTACTTTATTTGTACCCCACCTTCCTCCCCAAATAGGGAGCCAAAGCAGCTTACATCATTCACCCCTCTTCCTTTTTCTCATTGCAGCAACCCTGAGTGTGAGACTGGTGCAAAGTCACTCAATAAGCTTCCAAGGCAGAGAGGGGATTTGAACCTGGGTCTTCCTGATCCTAATCCAGTGCTATAACAAGTTTGGTGTACTGGTTAAGAGCGGCAGGACTCTAATCTGGAGAAACGGGTTTGACTTCCCCTCTCCTCCTCCACAGGAAGCCTGCTGGGTGACCTTGGGTCAGTCACAGTTCTCTCAGAACTCTCTCAGCCCCACCTACCTCACAGGATGTCTGTTGTGGGGAGAGGAAGGGAAGGCGACTAAGCAGCTTCGAGACTCTCTCAGGTAGTGAAGTTTGGGGTATAAAACAAAACCTTCCTTCCTTCTTCTATCACAGTATAGTTGCAATACTTATTAGAGAGAATAAGAAGGAAAGAAACCAGGAAATCTTTGTTACAGTGCTACAACAGGTATTGCTGAGTGAATTTATACAATCCTTTTTTGCTTATCGTTCACAATGGCACTGTGCGGTAGCTGAACTGTACTGAAGAAATCCTCTCATTGCTTTGACATGTGGCTGCAGTGTTTGTGTTGTTGTTTTTTTTGGGGGGGGGAATGTTTCACTTGGTTTGTGGCCTAACCAGCAATCTGAACCATAGTCTCAGTTTTAAGGCAGATGGGTGACTTCTACCCATCCTACCTGTCAGTTTTCTGTCCCGTTGAGCAGCCCCAAACAGCTTCTCTGCTGCTTTCTGACTAAATCACCTGCTGGGAACCTTCATGGCAGGAGCCTTGTACAACTTTCCACACACCCATATATTTACATAAATCACTTACAGAACTTTTTCATGGGTTAACGTGCCAGAGTCCCTCCCCAATAAAATCCCCAATAAAATATTTTCAGCAAGTAAAACATAATATAAACCCACACGCATCTCCCACGTTTATTTTTCATATTTTCAGTTTATTTACAAACATTTCATTATCTCAGATTACACAAATTTTTAGAGTCATTGTATCGAGTTACATGCCTTATGTTCATTATAGTTCGTTCCACTTTTCTTTTTCTTATTCTACTTTTACATGTTTTATCCAATTGTAAACCCTTAACCATCTTTTATTCTGTATTTTTTAGTCTTTATCCTGGAGTATTAAACTCAAATTATCCATTTGCGCTAGCTCAAGGAGTTTAGCTATTAGATCCTCTTTCGTGGGAATTTTGTCCGTTTTCCAGTTTTTAGCCACTAGTATTCTTGCATCAGGAACTGCGGTGGCTCAAGTGGTTAAGACGCTGAACTGCAGGCTGTGGATGGTCAGTAGTTCAGCAGTTCAAGACCCGGGTGCCGCAAGACGGGGTGAGCTCCCGTCTCTAGTTCCAGCTCCTGCCAACCTAGCAGTTCGAAAGCAAGAAATTGCAAGTAGATAAATAGGTACCACTTCGGTGGGAAGGGAACAGCGTTCCGTGCGCCTTGGTGTTTAGTCATGCCGGCCACATGACCACGGAAACATCTTCGGACAGCGCTGGCTCTTCGGCTTTGAAACGGAGATGAGCACCGCAACCCTAGAGTCGGATTCGACTGGCTTTCGAGCAAGGGAACCTTTACCTTTACCTATTCTTGCATCTGTTATGATCTATACTAATAAATATACATCTTGCTTGACATAACCTTTTGGAATTATATTCAATAGATAAATTTCAGGTGCTAACAAAACATCTAAATTTAGTATCTCTAAAATAACATTATGTTTCCAATATTTTTGCATTTTACTACAATTCCACCACATGTGGTAAAAGGTCCCCACATTAGATTTACATTTCCAACATTTATTGGATGTTTGAAACCCACACGCATCTCAAATGATCGTGTGTTTAAAAAAAAAATCACTGAAGAGAATTAATTTTAAAAGACACATTTTAAAATGTACTTCTGACCAATATTTCCTCTAAGCTGTGGAGTCTCGTGAGCAAAAATTCTACTTTGTGAGCTACTGGCATTAAATTGTGAGCGAGCGATTTGGCTCCTGCATTAATTAGTTTGCTCTGGAGCCGTCCTTCCTGAGCTAAGACAAAAAATGTGTGAGCTGGAGGATAAAAAACTGTGAGCTAGCTCACTCTAACTCAGGGAACACTGCTTCTGACATATAAAGCCAGTTCACCAATGTTATGTCGTGCTGTGGATTCTGTTTCCATGCTGTGGAAATGGAATCTCAGGACACAGCAGTGCAGACAGGAGCAGGCTTGACTTTTCAAAAGCAGCAAGGTTTCAGCAGGGCAGGAAGTGTCCTAATGTAACCCTTCTGCTTTCTTCCATATGCGTGACTGCGGTTCCTTCCTTCCTTCCTTTTTTTTTGCCATCAAGTCACAGCTGACTTATGGCAAACAAATAGGGTTTTCTAGGCAAGGCATTCAGAAGTTCGTGGCCTGCCTCTGCTTCACAACCCTGGTATTCCTTGGAGGTCTCCCATCCAAATACTAGCCAAGGCTGACCCTGCTTAGCTTCTAAGATCTGACTAACCTGGGCTACCCGGGTCAGGGCTTTGTTTCCTAGAGGGGAAGCTAAAGTTCTGTAATATTGTTTGGGTGAAATCAATGCCTACTCTTTATTCACAGTGGGAGGAAGCCCAGCAAACCTTGACAGAGATTCTAGAGCAGGGGTGTCGAACTCATTTGTTATGAGGGCCAGATCTGACATAAATGAGACCTTGTTGGGCCGGGCCACATGTGTGTCATAAAATGTAACGCCAGGTAGCGGAGATATATAAACTTTATAAAGGACACAAACAAAGGGTGTTGGTTTTTTTACTTAAAATAAAAACATGCTTAAAACATTAGCACTCTTGCAATATTTTGTTCATTTAACAGTGTCGGATAACTGACACCTCTTGCTCTGAATTGTTGCATCAAAATGCCTGTGCTGTTGCAATCCTGAGTATGCTGTTCAGGTGTGTATCTGAAAGCTGCAAACCTACGATGATGCAGCAGCAGCAGAACTGGAAGACGCAGAAGACAGGCAGTTCCACCGTGGGCCTGATAGAAGCTCTCGGGGGGCCTGATCTGGCCCTCTGGCCGCATGTTTGACACCCCTGTTCTAGAGGGGGGTCATTGGAAATGTTTGTGTAAAGAGATATGTTATACTTGAAAGGTATACTTGAAAGTCCTCTCCGCATACATGTGATCATCTTTGGGGCCCCCCGCTTCGGTTGCCTCCGTCATTTGAGGCTAGATAGAGGGAAGCCCGAGGAAGGGTCTTCTCTGTGGTGGCACCAAAACTCTGGCACTCCCTCCCCAGGGAGAATTCATCTGTCTCCCTCTGTTGGTGTCTTTTACCACCAGGTGAAGACTTTTTTGTTCCATTTGGCATTCCCCCAGTAATGATTATTGGCCACTGGTTCTGGTGCTGTATGGTTTTATTGAATTATTTTATCATCTTAACTGTTCCTAGTTGTTGAAATATTTTAATGTTGTCCTGTTTCCCAACTTGGGGGACCTGATTGGGTGGATAGGTGGCATAAAATGTTTTAAAATTGCTGAGCATGAAATTGCTGAGCAGTCGGGTTAGAACGGATAAAAGGAAGTACTTCTTCACCCAAAGAGTGATTAACACATGGAATTCACTGCCACAGGAAGTGGTGGCGGCTACAAGCATAGACGGCTTCAAAAGGGAATTAGATAAGTATATGGAGCAGAAGTCCATCAGTGGCTATTAGCCACAAGGTATAGATAGGGACTCTGGGGCAAGTGATGCTCTGTCATCTTGGTGCTTGGGGGGGGGGGGGTCAACAGGGGGGGGGCTTCTAGTGTCCTGGCCCCACTGGTGGACCTCCTGATGGCACCTGGTATTTCTGGCCCCTGTGTGATACAGAGTGTTGGACTGGGTGGGCCTTTGGCCTGATCCAACATTGGCATCTCTTATGTTCTTAAACAAAATAAAGACATACATTACCTACAAACTCCATCCCCGCTTGCAACGGGCGTTTTTGCAGTAGCCATTCTGTGTCCCCAGAAATGAAATGCTTGCCCAAACAAATGTGATTGTGATTGCCATGTACTTTGTTGTTTGGAAAACTTTTAGACAGAAATGATTCAGCCCAGATTAGTTAGATGTAAAATAAGTCCCTAACACTATAACCTGGATTCAGTTTCATTGTGTCACAGATAGCAGGTACTCGGCTATAATACTCGTAGATCACTTGTTTGTTCTGTTCACATTTATACATGTATATTCATAAATATTACCTTTGCAAGGTAAAATTGGCTAAAGATTAGCGAATAGGCATTTAATTTAATTTTCTGTTGCGTTAATTCTTAGGCTTCATCTAGTATATTCCTCCTTGCAGCTTTGGCACGTGGATTCTGCAAATGAACTGAAGACTATTGACATGAGAGACTACTTCAAGAGTACGGATGAATATTATGATGATGTGGAAGTGTTGGTGAAATGCTGCTGCTGGTCATCAGATGGCGCTACAGTAATTGTGGCAGCCAAAAATAAACTTTTTGTAAGTACTGCCTTGCCATGGTGCAGGTATGCTTTTCTTTTATAGGTCACAATTCTTTTTCCAGTTTCTGCTTGAAAACAATGTGCAGCTGAAGTAGACTTTTAACAGAGGAAAAAAGCTGTGATTTCCAATTCTATCCTTTTTTTTTCAAAGAGTTCAGAAATGGTCAGCCATGCTGCCCATTGATCTGGAATAGTTTCTAAAGCAGTGGTAAGAATTTGGGTGAACTTCAGTTCCACTTGACAGTATGAGGCTACTAAAAGCACAAACTTGATTTAGTCTATTTACAGGCCATACCCTCAAAGTTCTAGAAGCATGTTGCAAAAGTAAGACGGTGTTGGGCGCCCTCATAAATCTACTGCAATTAAAGGAGGGACTTCCTTTTTTTGGTTTAAGACAGTAATGCTAGGGGAAAGTAGTAGGAATAACCAAAGGGAAAAACTAGTAGAAAAAGGTAAAGATCCAATATGAGATAGATGGACTCAAGAAAGGACGCCACGGCCCTCAGTTTGCAAGACCTCGAACAAGGCTGTTCGTAGAATCATCGAATGTTAGAGTTGGAAGGGACCTTGCAGGTCATCAACCCCCTTGTACTCTGCAGGAGCGTAGCCGAAAGATAGCCCTACAACCAATGTTCCCTCTAAGCTGTAGAGTCTTGTGAGCAAAAATTCTACTTTGTGAGCTCCTGGCATTAAAGTTGCAAGCAACCGATTTGGCTGCTGCATAAATTAGTTTGCTCTGGAGCCCTCCTTCCTGAGCTGAGACAAAAATGTGTGAGCCGGAGGCTAAAAAACTGGGCTAGCTCACACTAACTCAGCTTAGAGGGAACACTGCCTACAACATACCCGAAAGATGGTCATCCAGCCTCCGCCTAAAAACAGCGAAGGAGCATCCACCACCTCCCGAGGCAGTCTGTTCCACTGCTCAACCACTCTGACACTTAGGAAGTTTCTCCTGATATTTAGCCGGTAACGACTCCCTTGTCATTTCCACCCATTAGATCTAGTCTTGCAATCCGGAGCAAGAGACAATAGATCTGCTCCATCTTCTACATGATGTTTTGGAGGTCATTGATTTATAGGGTCACCATAAGTCGGAAACGACCTGACGGCAGATAACTCACACAGGCATAGAGGATAGAAGTTGTGCTGGAATGATGAGGGCCTGAGGGAAGGGAGCATAGAATCCCGCTTCTGTTTCTCAGTCTGTTCGTTGCAATTCAGAGATTACCCCTATTAGGACTGTCTTAGCCGTCCTGACCTGGATAGCCAGATCTCAGAAGCTAAGCAGGGTTGACTCTGGCAAGTACTTGGATGGGAGACCTCCGTGGAATACCAGAGGCAGGAGAGGTGGGGGCAGGCTTTATTCAGCCACCTCTCTGAATATCCTCCAGGTCCCCAGTAGGGGTCAGTCACCAGAGGTCGCCATGACTTCCAGGTGCACGCACACACGCACATATAAATGCGAAAAATAACCCACCCCCTAAAAGGACTGCCATGGCCCAAGTATGGCTTTTTCGCCCTGTTCTTGTACTTAGCTGCTTGAATGACATCTTGTAATAGAATGTTCATAGACGAATATGAACATTTAAACTGTTGCAGTTATCCTGGTAAGAAATGAATAAAAGGCATTGATTTATAGAGACAAGTGTTTGCAGATAAACTTTCAGCAAAATGTAAATTGCATTTACAAAAATGAAAACTCAACTATCAAAGTGTTTTGCGTAGTTTATAAGTGGTTTATAAGCCAGTAGTTCAGCAGTTCGAGACCCGAGTGTGCCGCATGACGGAGTGAGCTCCAGTCTCTGGTTCCAGCTCCTGCCAACCTAGCAGTTCGAAAGCAAGAAATTGCAAGTAGATAAATAGGGACCACTTCAGTGGGAAGGTAACAGCGTTCCGTGCGCCTTGGTGTTTAGTCATGCCGGCCACTTGACCACGGAAATGTCTTCGGACAGCGCTGGCTCTTCGGCTTTGAAACGGAGATGAGCACCGCAGCCCTAGAGTCGGATTCGACTGGCTTTTGAGCAAGGGAACCTTTACCTTTACTTTATAAGCCATAGTTAAAACTGTGAGATATTTTCAGTTGCTATGTGAAATAATTAAAATCTGTTAATAATTCCAGAGGGATAGCCACATATAGTCTGTCTCAGCAAAAATAAATAGGACTCTTGTGGCAAGAAGAACACTTTATTTCAGCATAATCTTTCATGGGCTGAATGCCCTCTCATACATCTGAAGAAGCAGGCTCTGGTCTGTGTAGGGATACGCTGGAATAAATCTGTGTTAATCTTTAAAGTGCCAAAAGACTCCTATTTTATTAATCTGTTTAGTAGTCTTTTATATAAATCATAGTTCTGGTTTTAAAGTGAAATGACTAATGTTGTTTTAGTAAAACTCTGAAATAATTTAGAATATTGCTCTACAAGAGATTTGACTGGTGCCAATAATTTTGCAAGACTTTTTAAAATTCCGTTGTGCACTGTAGTGTACCTAGAGATTTTTTAAATAAAGAGATAATACTGCGTGTTCATAGAATAAAGTAAAAATGATCTTAAATCTGGACCCTTTTTTGGTTAATACAAGCCAAAAGCTCACAAGGAAATGTGGCAAGTGAGTGTGATATAGAGTATTTTTATTTATTTATTTATTTATTTGATTTGTATCCCGCCCTCCCAGAGGCTCAGGGTGGCTCACATGCGGCAGAGCCGAGATATAAAATACAATAAAACATATAATAAAATACAACATCCACTCCCTCTGTTCCCAAAGGATCAAGGATTCAAGATAATTGGCTTGTGTGGGCTGATTTCCCCTTTTCCTGTAATAGACTTTCTGTCCTCATCAGACTTGGGGTTTTGTTCCTTCATCATCCATGCAGATGTGGCCACTTTATTTTTAGATATAATAATGTAAAGTTAAAAGAAATCATAAGTAATCATTTTGATTTTAAGGTTTGGGCAATGGTCATAGTCATTACTGATATTAATAACTCATGCAGTGATAGGATCAGATGGGTACCCGTGTTGGTCTGAAGCAGCAGAACAAAGCTCGAGTCCAGCGGCACCTTTAAGACCAACAATGTTGTATTCAAGGTATAAGCTTTCATGTGCATGCACACTTCATCAGATACAGTGAAGTGGACGTTACCAGTCCATATATATAGGTAGAAGGTGGGCAGCAAATTAGCACACAGCATAATGAAGATATTTAACAGATGCAAAGACCAAACTGGTTACCATTTGTTTGGGTTTAATTCTGGGGGAAAACATAGTAAAGGAAATAAATATATTAGAATTGGAGATTGATGAGCAGATGTATCCTTAACTGTGGAATGCTAAATTAACTGAGACCCTGCCATTACACTCCATCCATCTCCTCTCAAGCGTGGAGGTGACCATATAGCATCTTCTTCTTTGAAGTGGGGCAGTTGGCTGTGTAGAGTTATCTCCCCTGTCCCCAGACCAGAGAAATACATTACACTCTACCATTCCAGATTACATTGCATTCTACTATACATCACATTACATTACAATCTACTATTCCAAATAAGAAATAAAATAAAGAGGATGCAAGTCCCTTCTGGGGGGATTAGAGAGAATACAGATGTAAAGACTGAATGGGGTTAATATATGTACTGAGATAAAAAACCAATATCCCTCTTAGGTCTTGGGGAGTCCATTGTTCTGAGTGTTGTAATAACTTGCAACTCAGCAATTTCCCCTTCTAGTCTGTTTCTGAAATTCCTTTGCAATAAAACAGCTACTTTGAGGTCACCCATTGGATGTCCTGGAAGGTAGATGTGTTCTCCAATGGGTTTCTCAGACTTGTGATTCATGATGTCAGATTTGTGCCCATTTATCCTTTGACGTAAGGTTTGATCTGTTTGCCCCATGTAGAGAACCGAAGGGCATTGTTGGCGTTTAATGACATATCCAGTGTTAGAAGATTAGCATGTGAATAAGCCTGAGATGGAGTAGTTGATGTTGTTAGGTCCAGTGATTGTGTTGTCTGGGTGTTGTCTGGAAGTAAAGTCACTGTCTTAGAATGTTTATTGTGCTTTCAGCTGTTTGATGTCAAGACCAGCGATTTATTGGCAGAGATCCTTATAAATCCCCACAGCACTATTCAGTACTGTGATTTTTGTCCCAACAGTCAACTGGTAGCAGTTGCTTTATCACATTATTCTGTCGAGGTAAGCTAACTACATTTTAAGACATTGTCTATCTCCTCCCCCTCCGCTTTGCCACTGTTTTGACGGATGGTTGCACAAGTTGTTAAGCTGGCTCAACGATTTAGAAATAATTCTAAATAACTTCGAAGGAGTATCCTCTGCTGTAGAAAGAACTGCTGGGTTACTTCCAGTGAAACTGAAATAGCCGTAGTTACTTGTAGATACTGATCAAAGATGTGACAACTTTTAATTTGATTTATACTCTGCTTTTCTCACCCAGTTGGGGCCCAGAGCAGCTTACAATATCATTCTTCCCTTCATGTGTTGTTAATCTTAACAACAAAACACTGTGAGGGAGGTTAGGCTGGGACAGAGTGACTGGCTAGCCTAATTAACCTTTACCTGAGGTGATCTTCCTACCCTGGTTGCCCTTCCTGCCTGCCTGCCTGCAGAAAGAAGAAGCTGTACAACGTTATCTTCTTCGGACATTGTCACATACACAGTGATAAATCACATCTACAAAGTACAGCTAGTTACATTCACCGTTTGCTTTCAAAAGGTGATGGAGGAAATCGGGGGGGGGGGAGGATGCCACACATCTAGTTTGGCCCTTAGCAGAAGGCAGTAACGGGATGGAACTTGGCAAAAGACAGAAATTGAATCTGTCCCCATTGCTTTTTCATCACAAGATCAGAGCTTAATCAAAAAACCAGTGAATTGCGCTGTTTAAAAATGACAGGAGATGCCTCAAGTAACTTTATTGTTATTGTTAACTTATGTTTTTGTTATTGTTATAGTTAACTTATGTTTTAAATTATTGTTTATGAGATTTTATAGAGTTTTTAAGTATTATGTATGTCAACCAGGTACTTTGTACCGTTTTGTTAGCCGCCCTGAGCCTGCTCGCAGGATGGGCAGGGTATAAATATAATAAATAAATAAAATAAAAATAAGTACCAGCGATTACAATATAATCTAGTGTTTTTTTAAAAAAAACTTTTCTATTTGCTTGAGATATGGGATATTAAGACCTATTCCAGAACAGCTGACTGCCGAGGACATATGAGCTGGGTGCATTCTGTGACATTTTCGCTCGATGGGTCTTTATTTCTGACGTCTTCTGATGATCAGACAATTAGAGTAAGTTAACCTGCTTCTTATTTATTCATTTTGATATTTATACCCCACTCTTCTTCCCTACTTTATCCATGCAAGAGCCACTGTGTGTGAAGCTCAAAGCACGTTAGGCTAAGAGCGTGGGATTGGCCCAAGGTCATCCAGCAAGCTGCCATGGCAGAGTGTAAAGTCGAACCCAGATCTCCCATATCCTAGTCTGACAGTCTGCCCACCAGGGCTTTCTTTTGTAGAAAAAGCCCAGCAGGAACTCATTAGCATAATAGGCCACACCCAACAGCAGAAATTCATTAGCATATTAGGCCACACCCCTGACAGCACAGCTCATTGGCATATTAGGCCACTCCCCCATGTTACCAGAAGTGTGCTCATCCAGCCACACCCACCTTTTGCTTCTTATTCTGTTTACTTTGTTGTCAAAACCCAGGGCCTTTTTTTGTAGCAGGAACTCCTTTGCATGTTAGGCCACACACCCCCTAATGTAGCCAATCCGAATGAGTTCCTGCTGTTGGGTGTGGCCTATTATGCTAATGAGTTCCTGCTGGGCGTGGCCAACTCGGGAGCCAGCCGGAACTCCGTTCCTGTGCGTTCCTGCCCAAAAATAGCCCTGCTGCCCACTGTGCCATGTTATGTGTGCTGGAACTGCTCTGCATATTTAAAAAACGGGCAAGATTATGTGATTAACTGGTTGACTCCCCTTGTTTCCTTGTTGCACTACTGCAATCCAAGATACGTATTTCTTGTGAGAAATCATATAAATCAAGATGGATAGCCATGTTAGTCTCTCTGTAGCAATAGAAAAGAGCAAGAGTCCAGTAGCACCTTAAAGACTAGCAAAATTTGTGGCAGGGGAGGAGCTTTCGTGAGTCACGAAAGCTCCTCTCCTCCCCTGCCACAAATTTTGTAAGTCAAATAAAGAATTATGACTGTCAAAGCATTCATGTTACTTTGGCAAATTTCGATAAGACTTCCTTTGCTTTTACCATCATTCTTACTGGAACATACTGTTGCAAATGATATAGTTGTTCCTGCTAAATGTGTATATTGTCTCAATTTTAGCCATTGTTTTATTAATGCACTGTTTCTTAGACTTACGGGGAATATAACTTTACAAAGTAACCCATTTTCTTATCTGAGTAGGAAGGCAGGATATCAGTGCAATGAATATAATTAATGACGTTTTTATTATCAGATGCTCCTCTGGCCAGAGGCACTGTTGCTATGTGCCATATTAAAATTCTGCAAAGCAGTACAATAAAATAAAGTAAACATACTAAATCAGCACTCAAGCAGCACTGTCACTGTAGACAGTATACTCAGACATTAAAATCAGTGCGCCATAGTAATTGCAGAGCCAGAAAACAACACAGCAAAAAAAGCAGTAGGCAGTAAAAGCATAAAAAAGCGTTAAATGAGGAACGGTTGTCTGCTAGCAGAGGCCTTCCAAAACAGGAACTTCCTCACCTGCTGATAGAAGAAGAGAAGAGATTGGACGGCTTCAAAAGGGAATTAGATAAGCATATGGAGCAGAGGTCCATCAGTGGCTATTAGCCACAAGGTATAGATAGGGGCTCTGGGGCAAGTGATGCTCTGTCTTCTTGGTGCTTGGGGGGGGGGGTCAGCAGTGGGAGGGCTTCTAATGTCCTGGCCCCACTGATGGAACTCCTGATGGCACTGGTATTTCTGGCCACTGTGTGACACAGAGTGTTGGACTGGATGGGCCTTTGACCTGATCCAACATTGGCGTCTCTTATGTTCTTATGTTCTTATGATTTATACCCTGCCCTTCACTACCCAAGGGAGTCTCAGAGCGGCTTACAAACTCCCTTCCCCTCCCCACAACAGACACCCTGTGAGGTAGGTGGGGCTGAGAGAGCTCTGACCGAAACTGCTCTTTTTCAAGAACAGCTCTGACAGAACTATGGCTTGCCCAAGGTCATCCAGCAGGTGCAAGTGGAGGAGCGGGGAATCAAACCCGGTTCTCCCAGATTAGAGTCCGTGCACTTAACCACTACACTAAACTGGCTCTCTACTGGGGGACAGTGGGGGGCTGTGTAGGTTTCCTCTGGCCAGTGTAAGTGCCACCAAGAGAAATACCCTGTTCCTAGTCTTTGCTAACTTCATTGGGACAAATTATGGGACGTGCAAGTTGATACCCTCCCTCTTCTCAGAGATCACAAAGAAACGCATGAGAAAATTACGTCCATTAACGTGATTGACTGTGCACCTGCTAATTTTGACGTCAAGTAGCTTAATATGTGAAAGTCAAGAAAGTTGTTTTTAGAATGCATGCAAGTCCTGGATTTAAACTTCCAAATTGTGCATGTGTTCTTAAAAGTGTGGCTTTGCAGAACTTGTGCCTTTTGCCTTTTAACAGATTTGGGAGACAAATAAGGTGTGCAAATCCTCTGCTGTGGTGTTAAAACGTGAAATAGACGTTTCGTTTCCGGGTAATGAAGTGATCGTTTTAGCCATTGACAGTCTGAAGCGTCTGCAGGTAATTTTGCTTCCGTTGAAGAACGTTATGAATTTGGTCTGACTTTGGATGTCATTTCAGCTGTGAGTTTGGTGGGTACTGATGAATAAATGATACTTGTGCATATATAAAGTGCGTGAATAGTCTTTCACAGGATTGTTCCCAGTACGAACGCACAAGCCGTTCCGAGTGGCGGTTTTATACATAGATCATGTTTGGAAAACTGCACCTTAAGGATAAGCCTAGACAGTATTCTGCTAATCATTGGCTTTCAGTGGAATCACAAATAAATCTGTAGTCAAAACACACTAAGTACATGCAGCAATAATTATATAGAAACCAAAGTCAATAATAATAATACAAATTTGTTTGTGATTCCACTGGCTGTTTTTCTGGAGCTCCCCTTCCTCTTGCTTTATTCATTGACTTTTGGCATAATACAGTCCTTGAGAACTTGTTCACCTGAAAAGATCTAAATCAGGGATGTCAGACATGTGGCCCAGGGGCCGGATCAGGCCCCCCGAGGGCTTCTGTCAGGCCCGCAGTGGAACTGGCTGTCTTCTGCTTCTTCCAGTTCTGCTGTTGCTGCGTCATCGTAGGTTTGCAGCTTACAGATACACACCTGAACAGCACAGTCAAGATTGCAACAGCACAGGCATTTTAGTGCAATAATTCAGAGCAAGAGGTGTCTGTTATTCGACACTGTTAAATGAACAAAATATTGCAAGAGTGCTAATGTTTTAAGCATGTTTTTATTTTAAGTAAAAAAAACCCCCACCTTTGTGTTTCTGTCCTTTATAAAGTTTATATCTCCGCTACCTGGCATTACATTTTATGACACACATGGCCCGGCCCAACAAGGTCTCATTCATGTCAGATCCGGCCCTCATAACAAATAAGTTCGACACCCCTGATCTAAACATTAACTTTTAAAATTTAATTATCAAATTTATATCCTGCCCTCCCCAGGGCTCAGGGCAGCTAACAACATACATCTCAATGTATACATTAAAAACTCCATAATAAGCATAAATAAACTTTTCAAGATTCGTACTTTTAGCAAGTTAGTATTTTGAAACCCGTCAGAAGTGTTAACTAACTTTGAGTTCCATGCAGTGCATCTTTGATAATGATAACCAATCTTGAATGACAAGCAGTGGACTTGCATGCCCCAGGTGTAGTGGGGGGGTGGCAATTAACATTTGGATAGCCTCAGGGCTATTTTTGGGCAGGAACACACAGGAACGGAGTTCTGGCTGGCTCCCAAGTTGGCCACGCCCAGCAGGAACTCATTAGCATAATAGGCCACACCCAACAGCAGGAACTCATTAGGATTGGCTACATTAGGGGTGTGTGGCCTAACATGCAAAGGAGTTCCTGCTACAAAAAAGGCCCTGGGTTTTGACAACAAACAAGGTACACAAAATAAGAAGCAAAAGGTGGGTGTGGCTGGATGAGCACACTTCTGGTAACATGGGGGTGTGGCCTAATATGCCAATGAGCTGTGCTGTCAGGGGTGTGGCCTAATATGCTAAGTTTCTGCCGTTGGGTGTGGCCTATTGTGCTAATGAGTTCCTGCTGGGCTTTTTCCACACAAAAAAAGCCCTGATGTTTTCCTTATTTTCTGGCAAGGCATAGGGTTGTCAGCCTCAGGGGTGGGACTGGAGTTATCCTGGAATTACAACTCCAGACAACAGAGATCAGCTCCCCTGGAGGAAATGGGTGCTTTGGAGGGTGGACTCAGTGACATCACATCCCTGCTGAGCTCCCCCCGCCGAACCCCGCCCTCCCCAGGCTCCACCCCCAAATCTCCAGGAATTTCCCAGCCGAGAACTGGCAACCCCTAGCCGTGAAAGGGAATTATTTTGCAGATTATTTGCAGTAGTCTCAGGCCACAGGAAATAGGTGTACAGGATGTCGTTTTAAATGTCCTTTATGTTTTAATGCTTTTTCATTATGTGATTTTATATGGTTTTGTTTTTATTGTACTGTTACTCGCCTTGGGGTCCTGACTTGGTCAGGAGGAAAAGTGGGCTTGTAAACATTTTAAAATAAATAAATTGTCATTTTTTAAAAAAATTCCAAACTTCAGCAGATATTACAGTTTACATACAAATGAGCCTTACATGAATTTCCACTAGACTCAAGTTGTATGGGTAAAAACCTGTCCAGCTTCATAAAGAAAAGCTTTCAAATGTGGCCTGTTTGATCATTCCGCCGATCTAATAACTTTATGTAAAACCTTCATCTTTTTCAACCGCTTCCACTTTATGTAGAGAATGAGACGGGGGGGTGGGTGGTTCCATAGACTTTTGCCGTCTCTTGACCATTGAAGAGTGTTAATACAATAATAACACCCAGGTATGTGTTGCATTGTAGCTAATTAACGGATGCACAGGCCAAACTCTGTATCAGACTGGTCCACAGGAGCATTTCATTTGTTGCTGTTGCCTGAGTGAAGATCTGCAGATGGCTGCGTTTGGAGACAAGGATGGGACAGTAAAGGTAACATGGCTGAGTTTTTGAATGAGTAGCTCAGAGCCATTGTGAGCATTTCAGGCATGATACAAAAGATGAAAAAAACAGACACACAGGATCACAGTTATCCTTAAAGGAAATACAACAAAACCACCACTGTGATGTGATGGCTTAAGGCATTTAGTAAATCTTTGCATCTACACAGATGCTCCTAATATAAATAGAAGGTAAAGGTAAAGGTTCCCTTGCTCGAAAGCCAGTCGACTCCGACTCTAGGGTTGCGGTGCTCATCTCCGTTTCAAAGCCAAAGAGCCAGCGCTGTCCGAAGACGTTTCCGTGGTCATGTGGCCGGCATGACTAAACACCAAGGTGCACGGAACGCTGTTCCCTTCCCACTGAAGTGGTACCTATTTATCTACTTGCAATTTCTTGCTTTCGAACTGCTAGGTTGGCAGGAGCTGGAACTAGAGACGGGAGCTCACTCCGTCATGTGGCACTTGGGTCTCGAACTGCTGAACTACCGACCTTCCACAGCCTGCAGTTCAGCGTCTTAACCACTTGAGCCACCGCAGCTCCTAAATAGCAGTTCGAAAGCAAGAAATTGCAAGTAGATAAATAGGTACCGCTTCGGTGGGAAGGTAACAGCGTTCCGTGCGCCTTGGCGGTTAGTCATGCTGCAACAACAAACAGTACAGCACACAGCAAAAAATAGCAAGGGACAACAAGAAACAACTATGAGCTGAATCACCTGGAAAGTAAATCCAAAAGGAGACTTCAACAAAGTGAAACGCACACGTTATCAGAAATGAATCTATACATATAATCCATCATTGGAAAATACAGAAGTTCACAGGATCCATAGAAGGAAAAAAAACAAAGTCCATAGTAGATATCCAACACTTTTCCTAGGTAGTATGCAGTGTTTCAGGCTTCTGGTCCTTCCTCAGGAACAAAGAACAACATTAGGAAGTCTCATTCCAGTTTCTTTACAGGACAATACTGTTCAGTTTCTTTATGGGCCAGGTCCCCTAAGCTTTAATATGCACCTCTCAAGGTTGCTTCTATGTAAACAGGACCAAGCATGCCTCCGTGTTTGCTTAGGAGACCTGGCCCATAAAGAAACCGAATAGTATTGTCCTGTAAAGAAACTGGAATGAGACTTCCTAATGTTGTTCTTTGTTCCTGAGGAAGGACCAGAAGTCTGAAACACTGCATACTACCTAGGAAAAGTGTTGGATATCTACTCTGGACTTTGAACTTCTGTATTTTCCAGTGATGGATTATACGTATAGATTCATTTCTGATTACATGTGCATTTCACTTTGTTGAAGTCTCCTTTTGGATTTACTTTTGCAGGTAATTCAGCTCACGGTTAGTCATGCTGGCCACATGACCACAGAAACGTCTTCGGACAACGCTGGCTCCTCAGCTTGGAAATGGAGATGAGCACTGCCCCCTAGAGTTGGATTTGACTGGCTTTCGAGCAAGGGAAACCTTTACCTTTACTCATTTTATACAATAGTTATTTGTTATGCAGTGCCTAGTATTTTTACAGTGTGGCTCTATATATGTAGGCACTTAAATGTAGTATGTTAGGCTCTATTACCAATGCGATGAAATATAGGAGATCAACAGATGTCTAATATATCGGGTTGGATTCAGCATTTCTCTGTACAGGATGAGTTCAACAGACCGATTTTTATGTGAACTTGCTTTGTTCACTAAAGCTTTGTGTCTGATCATAATGATATTAATGAAGGAAAACATATAGGTCATTCACATATAGGTTACTTTTCTATTTGGTGTAGTGGTTAAGTGTGCAGACTCTAATCTGGGAGAACCGAGTTTGGTCCCCCACTCCTCCACTTGCAGCTGCAGGATGACCTTGGGCAAGCCATAGTTCTGTCAGAGCTGATCATGAAAGAGCAGTTTCTGTCAGAGCTCTCTCAGCCCCACCTACCTCACGGGGTGTCTGTGGTGGGAAGGGGAGGGGAAAGGAGTTTGTAAGACGCTCTGAGACTCCGAGTGAAGGGCGGGGCATAAATCCAATCTCCTCCTCCTCCTTATCCTGTGTCTGTAGATCAGGCGTCCCTGACCTTTTTGAGCCTGTGGGCACTTTAGAATGGTGGGCGCCAGCCACAAAATGGCTGCCACAAGATATCTGCCGCAGAAGGTGAAGCCAGCCCCAAATTGGTTGCAAAAGCTTTCCTCAGTCATACAGTGGAGGCTCTTGTGCTGTGGCGGCAGCTGCTGCCAAAATAACATTTTTAACAGTCCGCACAGCCAGACAAAAGCCCCACTTTCTAAAAATACTTGGTAGGCACCAGGGAAGGCAGCAGCAGGCACTATGGCACCCAAAGGCAGGGGACCCCTGCTGTAAATTATTCAGGAAACTTGGGTTCCAGGAGGCACAAAGTTGGAGCCAGTTTGGTGTAGTGGTTAAGTGCATGGACTCTAATCTGGGATCGATTCCCCACTCCTCCACTTGCACCTGGCTGGATGACCTTGGGCAAGCCACAGTTCTGGCACAGCTGTTCTTGAAAAAGAGCAGTTTCTGTCAGAGCTCTATCTCAGCTTCACCGACCTCACGGGGTGTCTGTTGTGGGGAGGGGAAGGGAAAGGAGTTTGTAAGCCGCTCTGAGACTCCTTTGGGTAGTGAAGGGCGGGGTATAAAGCCAATCTCCTCCTCCTCCCATTTAGCTATTATGCTTTTTAATTTAATGATGCAGAATGTGCTTAAAGTAGCTTTTTTATAGCTTATTTATTATATTTATTGATTTGCTTTTTCAATTTTTTTTCATTGCCTGTTGTGACTGTAAATAGACTCCTTTCAAAGCTCCATTGTCTGGTTTCTTTTTTGAAAAGGTATTGAGCCTATCAAGTGGGAAAATTGTAAAATGCAGAAGTGGACACCGGAAGGCCGTACAGCGTTGTCAGTTTACTTCTGACGGGCAGACGCTTCTGTCAAGCTCCGATGATTCTACCATTCAGGTGCAGAAATGTTTCAATGGCTTTTTGTTACGGTGTAATTCCCCCCTGAATAACATGGGTGCGGTCCAGAGGCACGTGTGCTTTGCTTTGAATTCCAGGAAGTCAGCCAAAGGGGGTTGATTTGATTCCATTTGACTCTCTGCAGCCAATTCTACTACACACTGGCTCCAAAGAACTACCAGTGGGGAATTGCACTATCTGCACCCCCAGATAGCTGTTTGTGAGGGAACTCTGGGGAATCCCGCACAAGAGGCTGCAGTAGGAATTGGGGCTCAGCAGAACTCTTCCCACTTTCCCTTCTCACATGAGCAGAAGTTACTGTTTGCTTGTTCAGCAAGAGGTGGTTTGGATCCAGCTCTGTTTATTTAAAGAAGGAAGAATCGCCTACAACAGTTCAAAAATCAAAGGTTATTTAGTGTGAACATTGATGCTTGCAAACTCCTAAAACTGCAAACAGATTTCCAATTACCTCATTTTCACTCATTTTAACCCAAATTTGCTTTTGTTGGAGTAATGTACGCGGACCGCCACCAGGGGTCCGTGGCTAAATTTAGGAGCTTGGTTCCCAGACGCAAAGGGAACCTCGGATCCCAGACCACCTTGTGTCCACTAATAGGCCTCTGGCGGGAAATTCAAACCCTCCTTCGGGGACCCTGGGTTTACTGGGTAGTGTATATATAGTTGGCCCTTGCAGGGCCAGTCTGTCGGTCTTGTGTGTGAAGTATAATAAGCGCGTCTGAAAGCATGTCGTAGTCAGAGTCTCCATGCGGCGAACCCAGGACTTTACAGTTGGGTTGCTCTCTTGTGAGTGAAATGCACTTAAATCCCGCTGACTACACTGGCACAAGACTTTAGCTTAAGTTTGTGTTTTTCAAAGGCATGTGTGTGAAAAACACACATTTGTTGTGTTTGAAAAAACACATTTGTGTTTGTGTGAACAACTCATTATCATTCTCCGTTCATAAATCCAAGGGCAGTGAAGTCCAAGTCCTTAGTCAGTGGCTATACTTCAAATATCAGAGCTGGGGAGTGCAGCTGTACCCGTTTGCAGTCAATAACGAAGCACCTCCATATTTCATAGCAATAAACATAAATTATGTTTGTATGTAAAAGTAACAATGACAGATTTAAGACGCTATTGCTAGAGCGCTAGCTAGAGCGCTGGACAGTTCAGTGTGTCTCAATAAAAACGTACGAGGGTGTGATCGTAATAAAGCAATATCCAAAGAGTGAGAGGAGAGCATTACACTGTAATGTGATGTTTTCTAATGGGGAAAACCATCACCTAGTTTGAAACCAAAGCATCAATCTTGTCACACCTTATGAATAAAATAATTCAAGCATATGCCGCAGCGGAGTCATCCAGTCGCTTTAGAGACGGAACAGTTATTGCCATGATGTCATAATAAGCGGCCATCTACAGGTTGGGTCCAGCCAATGGTGAAAGGCGTTCCCTCTGATGACCAAAAAGGCTATGCTGGGGGATCATGGGACTGGCACGGGCAAAAGCCTGTGGGGTGGGGGCTATAATAAAGGGGAGAATTTGGCCAGACAGAGTGAGCTGGCTGGATTCAGCCTTGTGTGTATCGTTCACTTGAATAAAACGCCTCAGGAGGCTTCCCCCCCACCCTCTAGAAAGAAAACCTGAAAGAGACAAAGTCAGAGTTAAGGCAAGAATCTCCCTACCTTGGAGAGGAGCTGTGGCTCAATGGGAGAAAACCTGCTTGGCGTGCTGAAGGTCCCAGGTTCAATTCTCAGCGTCTCCAGTTAAAAGGATCAGGTACAGGGGTCATTTCGTAGAAAAAGAGGTGCCGGAGCTCATTAGCATAACTTATTTGCATATGCCACGCCCCTGACATCACCGGAAGTGTGTCAGAAGGCAATACCCACCGCTCAGGCTCCACTGGACTCTTTTGGATTGCTAACTATTGGGGAGGAGGGAGAGCTTGTACCTGAAGGCGGGGGGGGGGGGGGCGGCTCTGCAACTTACCTGGCTGCTTCTTGCTCCTCGTAGCCCGACTGTGGGCTGCTGGGGGCAGGGAGTGGGGCTTGTTGCATGTGCCCGCCCCCTGGGCTCCTTACTGCCGGAGCTCCGCTCCTGTGCGCTCCCGCAGGAAATGACCCCTGATCAGGTAGTAGGTGATATGAAAGGCCTTAGCCGGAGGCTCTGGAGAGCTGCTGCCAGTCTGAGTAGACAGAACTGGCCTTGATGGACCAGTGTTCTGATTCCGTATACGGCAGTTTCGTATGTGTGTGTGTAATCCATTTTCCTGTCTCTTAAAATCAGGTATGGAACTGGCAGTCAGATGACTCTATTCTCCTGAAAGGTCATACAGAATCGGTCAAGAATTTCCGGCTTCTGGAAATCTCCAAGCTTCTTTCGTGGTCATTTGATGGGACAGTTAAGGTACATAAAAGCCAGCCTATTGAGAGCTGAGATGGTTGTCCATTGATGGCTTAGCAGTTTAATTATTTTGGTGTGAGGGCCAGTTTGGTGTCGTGGTGTAATGGTTAAGTGCACGGACTGTAATCTGGGAGAACTGGGTTTGATTCCCCACTCCTCCGCTTGCAGCTGTTGGTGTGACCTTGGGTCAGTCACAGTTCTTTGAGATCTGTTCTCTCAAGAGCAGTTTCTCTCAGAGCTCTCTCAGCCCCACCCTCCTCCTCCTCCTCCTCCTCTGTTTTTTTCTGTTTTTGTTTTTTCCAAAAAACCAAATGTAATTAATTGGTCACTGGCCTATATTTATTTATCCACTGCATTTATATCCTGCTTTGAGTGTCATCCTTGTGCAGGGCTAGGGCTTATTTATTGGTCTGTGGCCCCCCCTCCCCTGTACAACAGGGCTCAGAGCGGGTAACAACAGTGATCATAAAATATCTATAAAATTAAACTATTAAAATAATACTTGCAGTAATACTAACAGCTAAAAGATGGCAGAAGAAGGAAGCACAACCTCTAGTGCTCCTTATCCAAGGGGGAGAAAATAAATATGCTGCAACTAATCAGAGATTAGGTGAAAAACCCCTGACACAGAACAGGGGGAGGGAGGGAAGAAGGGGAGGCCAGTCCAGAATGGAATCATTACTGCCCTCAGCCGTAAGCTGTGCAGAACATCTCTGTCTTGCAGACCCTGCAGAACTGCATCAAATCCCACAGGGGGCCTGGATCTCACTCGACAGAGCGTTCCACCCGGTTGGGGCCAGGGCCGAGAAAGCCCCGGTTCTGGTCAAGGACAACTGGATACTTTTTGGGCCAGGGATCGCCAGAAGGTTGTGATTCATTGAGCGTAGAGCTCTTTGGGCGGTGTACCAGGAGAGGCAGTCCCAAAGGTGTGCTGGTCCCAGGCTGTTTAGGGCTTTAAATGGGCTTTTAATCACTGCAGCTGTTTCGTTTTCTTGTGTTTTGTGTCTCTTTATCAGAGTAACCTGCCTCAGTAGCCAGACTGTCTGAGGAGTGTGGGAAATAAAACGTGTAAAATGAATGAATAGCTGCACCTGAAGCTAAACCTGCCTATATAAAGCAATAAAATGGTGCAGCAACGTCCCCGCCCGCCGCCGCCCGCAGGGCTCTTTTTGTAGCAGGAACTCTTTTGCATATTAGGCCACACACCCCTAATGTAACCAATCCTCCAAGAGCTTACAGAGCTCTTCTTACAGGAGCTACTGTAAGCTCTTGGAGGATTGGCTACATTAGGCGTGTGTCGCTTAATATGCAAATGAGTACCTGCTACAAAAAGAGCCTGTTACTATTTAACTTTAAAAAATAACTATCTGTGGCTGAATATTTCTGATGCGAAGCAAAACTTCGAGTTGTGTTCCTTTAAGAAGCTTTGTCCTGCAGAATTTTTCATTGGAACTTCTTCGTATTTGCAGCTCTGGAACATAGCTACTGGAGAAATGGAGAGAGACCTTGCTTGCCACGAATATGCTATTCTTTCTTGTGCTGTTTCACACGATGCCACCAGATTTTCTACTGCCTCTGCTGACAAGACTGCCAAAGTTAGTAAAAGCCTACAGCTTAACACTAACATTTGTATGCATATAAAATCTAGGGCACGATCCAGCCAAAGAAAAACATTTTCATATCTTCTTGATAAAGTGGGAGAGTTATAGACATGCCTAAGTCTCTGCCGTTCGAAGCAGAGGGGCTTAATCCTTAAGTATTGCTGGGTGCCTGATCAGTCCAAATTTCTCTGTTTTAAAGTAGTCAATAACCATTCTAAATAAAATATAATGACTTGAGCCATGCAGGATGTAATGGGGTCTTGTGTTTTCCCCATCCCAGTTCATCCTTAACTCCATCTTAGAACATAGCACCTCCAGGTTGGCTTATGTCTAGGGTGCTGGTTATTGCTATAACCTAGAGTTTGTATCACAGGATTCAGGCAAGAAATGCCCTGTTTTCAGACCTTTGGCAGATGTACCGTAATAATTGTGTAGGAGATTCCAGCTCCCCACCCCCCCAAAAAAATGTCTGTTCAGTTAGATGAGGTCCAAATGTCCTCTGTAGCTATAACGTGCAGGATGTTTGAACTGAGTAGTGCTGAAATTTAAATGGATTTTTATGTTTCACAATTCCAACTCTAGATATGGAGTTTTGAAAGTTCGTCTGTTCTTCACATATTAAGCGGCCATGAAGGTTGTGTGAGATGCTGCACCTTCTCCCTTGATAATGAACTGCTGGCCACAGGAGATGACAATGGAGAAATACGGGTAACTACTCTTTTTTGTTACTTTTTAAATGATTTGTTTAATAGTTTAATGTAGAAACGTTACTGGCCTGTATCCAACCAACCCTACATTCTGGAAACTTAAGAGAACACGTTTTCTTAAGAGGAGGCACCAACTTCCTCTAGACTCCCACATCACCCACATGCTGTTCCGAGGAGTCCATTGACACCTCCACCCACCCACCCCCACCCCCGGAGCAAACTTCCAGTTCTGGCTTACCAGATGTCTTCATTTCCTTGCTTCATTTCTTGTCCGCCTTTCTCTCAGAGATTCAAGGCGGATTACGTGTGATCACAATATACTGTTCACTTCAGAGATAATACTACAGTTAAGTTTCTTATCTTTTCTCTTAAAGAAGGATTTTTAATCCTACAACAATGATAAAGGATAGTATGAATAAATGTCAGAATGGTGCACTTAGCCTGAATATTTGGATAACTTGTGGGATTCTCAAGAAAACTCAAGACACATACATGCCTAGATAGTAGAAAAGAGCAAGAGTCTTAAAGATTTAATAAAATTTGTATCAGGACAGGAGTTTTCGTGAGTCACTGAAGAAGTGAGCGGTCACTCACCAAAGCTCCTCCCCTACCACGTATTTTGTTAGTCTTTCAGGTGCTACTGGGCTCTTGCTCTTTTCCACTGCTACAGATAGACTAACACGGCCACCCATCTTGATCTGTCTACATGTCTAGGTAGTTCAGGTATAAGATTAACACCAAGTTTCATTGTGAATATTTCTGATGGCATGCTGCATGCACATTTTGTATTTTTCGTGTCTCAGATTTGGAACGTCTCAAGAGGCGAGCAGCTACACCTCTGTTCCCGTACACCAATAGATGATGGCGAATCAGCACACGGAGGCTGGGTCACAGACCTTTGCTTTTCTCCAGACAGTAAGATGCTTGTTTCTTCGGGGGGATACATTAAGGTAAGCACAAGAAGAAAGTAGACATATTTTTCCGAAAGAATTTGAGGAAACGGATAGATACCTGATTGTATACATGTCAACGGCGGCAAGGATATTATATGCCAAATACTGGAAAACTCAAGAAACACCAACCAAACAGGAATATATTAATAAACTTTTAGAAGCGGCGGAAATAGATACATTAACTATGGAAATGAGAGGCACGAAGAAATGGACATTCCAAAAAACTCTGTATGATTGGTATAATGTGAATGGAGTTAAAGATTAAGTTGATATGGCAAAAATAATATTTGAGTATGTAGTAATATATAATAATGGAATTAGAGAATATTAACAAATATTAGAGAATAATGAAGCGATGGATTAGGTGTAGCAACAAACTGTAACAAGTCTCTTGGTTTATATGTTGTTTGTTGTAGTGGTTTGTGTCTGTGTTTAGGATTATAAGAAAATAATAAATATGTACCTTAGGGTACTTTCAAAAGAAGAAGAAGAAGAAAGTAGATAGAATACAATGGGTTGGATCCTGTCTGAATTCCCCACACAGAAGGATAACCTCCCCTGCCCTCCTCCCCCAGCAGCCCCAGATGCTTGGGGAACAGAGAACACACACGCAAGCAACATTGGGGGGGGGGAGTTAGTGGGTTGCCATAGGAGGGGTAATTGCCCTCTCTCTTGCACATGTGGGTCTTTTTGACAAACCAGGGTAGTAGTGTTTGTTTTTTCCTGTTTGTTTGAAAATACCATGTGTGAAAATTTAAACAGTTCATTTAAACAGTTCATGGATCACTGTATGGGTAGTTGCTTTTGGCTGCATTACGAGAAGGCAGGACTCATTGGAAATGACAATAATGCTGGGAAAACTTGAAGGCAGCAGGAAAAGAGGACGACCCAACATGAGATGGATTGGTTGAAACAAGGAAGCCACGGCCCTTATTTAATGTTAGGACATTTTGAGGGTCATTAATTCATAGGGTCACCATAAGTCAGAAACGACTTAACGGCACGTAACACACATAAATTACTCTTTGGTTATAAGTAGAAACTACATCCCAAAGATACAGGATAAGTTTTAAAATTTCAGGTTGTATCAGAAAAGTTCTGAGCTGGCCTGTTCCGAAACCCTGAAACCAGAGCCTGGCAAAGGCTCACACTTGAGTTTGCATTTATAGAATTTGTAGGCTGGGGGCAGACCTAATTCTTGTAGGTGTGGCTATCAACCTGCCCCCGCTCTCTTGGGCTTGGTTGCCATGGGGACGTAGGGGCGTGAGAAAAATGTCGACTTTCACTTTTGGCAGCTTGCAGTTATCTTAGTTGGCCTGGGCACATAACCTTGAGCCCCAGTCCAGCCTGGCATCATCTTTCCCCTGGGTACTATGGGCCATTGTTTTGGCAGGCCCCTAGCTTAGGTGTGATCGGCCACAGGCCATTAGGGACCTGCTTGATTGAGGTATAATTGTTTGCTTCACACGCTTTTACTCAGGTCTAACACAGAATACGTAACCGTTTGGATCCTATCACTGTCTCAATAAACTTTCTATTCTTTGAATGATTGTTGTTGGGAACTGATTTCTCCAGGGGTCTGACAGTTGCCTATAACATGCTAGTATTCAGTTTTCAAATTTAGGTTATTTCTGACTGGGAACGTTTTTCTCTTCCTTGCAGTGGTGGAATGTGGATTCTGGCCAAGCCCGGCAGACCTTTTACACCAATGGCACCAATCTGAAATTCCTCCACGTGTCTCCAGATTTCAAAGTGTGTGTGACTGTCGATAACCTTGGAATCCTTTATGTGCTGCAGATTATGGACTATGGACTATAAAACAGGATCAGACGGCTTTTGAAATGGCAGTATTTTGAGCCAGAAGCAAGTTCCACAGACTTTCACGCACTCATTTCAGCTGTGAAGGGATCTCATGAGTTATACGGGTCTGTTTGCAGGACACGTCGGTGAACGTTTTCAGATCAGCGTAAAGTTTACCTTGTGTTTGGTCTAAAGTGCGAAGGATTTCCCACTGTTATAATTGAGAAATGTTTCGACAAACTGTTGCACTAGTGATCATCAAAGGCAGCTTAATAAGGGTGCATAGTACAGAACAAAGTTTGAGTCCAGTGGCACCTTTAAGAGTCAAGGTATAAGCTTTCGTGTGCAATCTATACAGAAGATGCGTGCATCCACACAAAAGCTTGTACCTTAAATAAAACTCTGTTGGTCTTAAAGGTGCCACTAGATGCAAATTGTGTTCTGCTGCTACGGAACAACACGGCTACCCACCTGAATCTGTGTGCATGGCACAATCGTGGATCCAGTGGCAAATTCTTCCAAGCCATAAATATGATACTGTAAAGTGGCTTTAAACTGCTTTTTCACTTTCTGCAATTTTTTCTTAAGTCATACCGGGGAGGGGAGGTGTTAAAAAGAATCTTGTTGATCTATTTTTTAAAAAATGATTTTGTAATAGCTTTGGTATACTATCTCTGCGGTACTGGGCTTTTCGATTATTCGCAGATATGCCGCAAGTTACCTCCTGCAAAGCACCAGCAGAAGGCATTGACCATCAGCAGTCTTCCTTGCCTTTCCCTGTCCCTGGAGCCATTTCCAAACCCCGGAAGGCTTATTCCCGGTGTCGAAGGGCACGTGTGGACTAAGAGTCATGCAGGCTGTGGGCCGTGGCAGCGAGGAGGGGAGAGAGAATGAGGCCACCCTTTCTGACTCTTGCTTGAGCAGAGCTCTGCTGGAGGAAGAAAGAAGGGACTTCAGACACACCCTTCTGCCTACAGCCCCAAACCTCATGCAAGACCCTCAAGCTTGATAGTAAAATTTCCTCTGCTTGGGACAGGTTTGTTGGGAAGGGGTGGCAGGGAAGGACAGTCCCATTTTTCCTTTGGCCTGCAGACTGCAGGGTCCAGCCCTGTGTATTTTCAGTGAAGAGGCATGTAAACTAAAAAACTGATTTTGCAGTTGGAGAAATTGGAAGTAGTTCTATATATTCAAATCTTACCATTTTGGAAAAAATAAACCCTGTACTTTTCAGCAAGGCTCACGTTCCTTCATTTGGGGTTTTAATTGGGCTTTCACTGACACAACTTCCACAAGGCTGGGGAAATTCTCACTTCAGAGTGCTGGGTCTGAAATGCGTGCGTCTGCTGCACTTTGCAACTGCTGGCTCATTGGGAAACCTATTTTATTTTTCTACATGACAGTCTCGTGTTTGTGAATATTTAGAGGGGGGGATCACAACATTTATTCCTGCTTAATTGCAGTGTCTAAAAGAATACATAGCAGCCAAGAGAATAGAGCGTGTGGCTTGTTAATATGTTAAATAAGTGTAAATCAAGTGCGCCCGTTGGACAAAGTTGTGGTCATTCTTTGGTCCCATGCCAACATTATCTTTAGTGGTGTGAACCTAAAATAGTGTCTTTGGGGTTTGTGAGTGAACACTACACGTCAGGATTTTCCCACTGACGTTAGTGGGCTCTATAAATAAAGGAAGTATTTGCAGATAACTAATACATCAGCAAACTGTAGTAATAATAGCAACAATGGATTATATCACTCGTTTCAAAGTGTTAGCCCTCTGAAGAGCCCTGTCAGTAACTTTTATGTTACATTTCAGGTTAAATTTAACTATGGCCTTTTTGTGTTTGCCAAATTTTACCTGCATCTATAAACATTCTAACTCTATAGAGCAATGTTGAATACATCAAATGAGGCAGTATATAGGACGTGCTCATTTTCTTTGGATGTTCTATACCACAGCAGGTTATCATGTTAACTAACATCCTTATGCTGTGTCCGAGTGTGACTTAGTGGACTGTTGGGCAGGCAATTCTGCTGTACTCGCCAGGAAACCCCTAGACCAAAAAGACCCATCGAATACCATGGAATGGATATAAAGGAAACCTACCCCCTTTGCACAACACTCTGAAGTCTGGCTGTCCAGAAACTAGTAGGATGGGAATTATTTCTATTTTTTCACCAGCATGATTAATATTTGGGAACGGTACTTGGAGAAGCAAAAGGGCTGGTTTTGCTGTGTTTTAGAATTCCTGCAACTTGTGCCAGCTCTTGGAAGTGAACATGTGCCTGGA